GGGAGGGGAGGGGAGAGGCGCTCCGCACCCTCCTGCCCCTGTGCCTCCCCCCCCGCTGCGGCTGCCCCGGGCCCTGCAGTTGCCACCCTGTCACAGGCCCTTCTGGAAAGGAGAGCCTGCAGCAGCGCAGGCTGGTGGCAGCCTAGAAGTAGCACATCAGCGGTGTGCATCAGGATCTGGGGGGATGTCTGATCACCGGAGGCTGAGGTGACTCTTCAGCCTGGAGAAGAGCAAGCTCAGGGGTGGCTTGGTGGCAGCCTGTCAGTCCTCGACTTTCAGCATTTCGAGTCGCAACGTTTCGCACTTGCAATGCTGATAAATTGACATCCGGTTTCGACTTTACAACGCTTGATCTGATGCAACAAGTTCGCTGCGTCGCTCATCTCCCTGGAGAACATCTGTCCAAACGTCCTTGGACGCTTTCTTTAAGAAAACAGATGAGACTCCAGAAAAACTTGCAGGCAAGACCCCTGAGAAGAGTCCAGCCAAGATCCCTTCAAAAAGTCTAACCGAGAGCCTTGCAAAAAGTCCAGCAAAGTCACCTCAAAGAAGTCCTTCCAAATCAATATGATTGCTATTTACAATATAAATACATTAATGTAGTTATAATACTCATCTATAATTGATTGAGTACAAAATTCTGGGTTACTTTTGGTGAAAATAGTGTATCGGGCCTTGGTTCAGGAACCAATCCCCCATTATAACATAGTTTCTTATGAGAAAATTGGTTCTGAGTTACAAAGTTTCAGCTTAAAACACGGTTTTCAGGAACCAGGTGTGTGGTAAGGCTGAGGACTGCCTGTACATCAGGGGTATGCATCATGATCTGGAGGGATGTCTGATCACCAGAGCACCCCCAAGGGATGGCAAGGTCTGACCGTCATAAACTCCTCCAAGACTGTTTTAGGCTGGACATAAGGAAAGCACCTGACCCCAGCGCTCTTTCCTGGCCGGGGCAGGGGGTCGGACTCAACGACCTACTGAGGTCCCTTCCGACCCAAACAGCTATGAATCTATGAAAAACTTCTTTACTGTCCGAGCCCCCAAGGCCTGGAATAGACTCACCCCAGAGGTGGTATAAGCACCTACTCTGAACGCTTTGAAGAAACGTTTGGACGTTTATCTTGCTGGGATCCTTTGACCCTAGCTGACTTCCTGCCCCTGGGGCAGGGGGCTGGACTCGATGATCTTCCGAGGTCCCTTCCAGCCCGAATGTCTATGAAATCTATGAAATGCAGCCGCTTAGTCTGGCCCTGGGGCAGCTGAGGGCTCTTGACATACTTACCTGGCAGGGGATACGCCATGTATCTGGGTCCATGAAGGCCACTTTCCTTAAACCTCCTGGGAATGACTATTCTTCTGGAGTGGCTTAGAACCCGCTGAGGTGTTGGAGTTTAAAGCCCACTTTATGAAAATGGGAGGCTCCTCCCTAGCTTGCTCCTGCCCCACATGGCTGAGGGCAGGCGAAACTTGAGGGCACCCGAACCCCAAGCCTCTGGGCTTGGGTCTGCACATAGGATGCCTGCCAAAAGACTTTGGAAATATCTGAAGCCCCTGGTGGGGGTGGAGGATGGCCAGTTGTAGGGCCACTTATCATTCTGGACTGACTCATGGATTTGGACGTGATTTGGCTTGGAACAGAAAAAATTTCTTTAAAAAACCCAAAATGCTGAGGGCTCTTAATTGCTCCCCCTCGGTGCGGGTGGCCAGCCTGGCCCCCCTGCCTAGAAACTTCAGATCTGGGAACCAGGTGGATGCTTTCTCATCCCTTTGGGACCCAGCGCCTTGTCCAAGAGGGCCTGGTCCCTTGCCATGCCTCCTAAGTGCTGCCCCAATGCAACTAACACATGATAGCCAGCCTGCTGCTTTTAGGCTGCTATGAATTCAGTGGCAACAGCTGCTCCTTGACTGGACAGTGGCTTGGGCTTCGCTTTAGAAGAGCTGGTCCTCACTTTATATTTTTCTAAACTTGTTTCCGTCAAGCAGTCACCACTACCTCTGTCTCACCACTGCCTGTGACATCCCAGCACAATCAGCAATCTTCAAATGATTAATAACACAGAACCAAATTCTTCCATCCTTGTCGCGTTTCTGATGGTGAGACTCTGGACAGAGCGTTGTGATGAATGGGCTGGTTTTCTCCAAGGGCCACGCTCCTTAGTCATCCTTGCCTGGGCAAAAATTTCATTGGCTTCAGCTGGAGCTGACAGATGTAATTGAGTTCAGTGGGAGTTTAGCCTGAGTAAAGCATGAGTAAACAGTGTGTAATAGGACATGAATACAAGGCCTAATCTGCAAGTGTTTATGCACATGTGTAACTTTGCACTGGGAATGCTTGTATTGTTAACAATTAACATGTGCATAAAAGTGTAGGATCAGGGCCTTATTTCACTTAAAGCAGTGGCTCTCAACTTTTTTGGACTCAAGACACCCCTTGGAAAATGACAGCTCTTTACTTTCCCTTGTCATTGCGGAAAAAATAAATAGAACGATTCTGTTGCAAAGAATTCAGAAAGCTCACAGCAAGTCCGAGTGTTTTGTCACTACAGTTTCCTGTTATCTGGGTTTAGCTTATGAGTCTTGTGTAGGTGTTTGCACGCTTATCAGGACTAATATTGTGCTACACCCTTAAAAGGATCTTGCAGTACCCCAGTTGAGAATCACTGGCTTGGAGAATCACACCCAACCTTTCATGCTGTTAGAATTAGCCTGTGATCAAGTTAGGTAAATTCAGGGTCACGTCTTGGTTTGATGATTTGATTCAGCCCTATTTCTTAATATTTTCCCCTCATCCAGAAGTCCATAATACTTGCCTCTGCTATTCTTCCATTGATGGGAAAAGCAACTCTCTTCTCCAAATTATAATACAAGAGCTGTAAGTAGTAAAGCTATAAATAACATTTCCTTATGGCAAGAATATCTGAGTCTAGGCAACACACCAAGAACAGCTACAATACTGTAAATACTAATGCTTTTCCAGCACAAGCTTAATAATTTTTTTTAAAGTCCTTTTTAAAGTCACAAAAAATGTCTTTCCAGTTATTCCTGGTAGATCATTGTACAGAGAAAGAAATTATCCTAATAATCCAAAGGACTGAGTTCAGTGTTGGTCATCAGAGGATTCTGTGATTACCTATAAAGGTTTTAATTTTAAAATGACATTAAAATGCATAAACCAGAATAATAATTAAAAAAAAAATGGCACCAGCACCAGTTCTGTATGAATTTTGCATGGGTTACAATTGTTGGATTGTGTTCCTGACATGTGCTTGGCTGGGCTGGGAAAGACCCGAGGCCTAATCCTGCCTCTTCTGCTAACCTGCCCTATAAGCCTAGGCAAGATGCTTCCCAATCTGTCCCCCTTCCCCTCCTCTTTGTCGGTCTGGTCCACCTAGATTGTAAATTCTTCATGCTGTGTTTATGTTCATCACCTGGCTCCACGGTGCTACCGCAAGAGAAGTAATAACAAAGCAGTTAGCCATGCACAGGGCAGGCGATACACAAGCAGTGACAGGAGATAAACTGTCCCTACCTCTGTAGGCCACCTCTTTCACACACACACCAGTGCAGCTCCGTTGGCTCTAATTTAGACGCTCGGCATAATGAGAGAGAAGAGCCAAGCCTCAGCCCATTACCAGCACATCTCCATCTCCTCAGATCCATCACTGCTATTATTTATATGGGACCATTTTGCAGACAATGACATACAGGAACAAAATTCCCTACAGAAACACCTGAAGCCCCTGCCAGCTGGATGGTACAACCAGGTGTGGATCAACGAACCCAGAAGCAGTGTGTGGAGTTGCACAAGGCTGCGATGCACATACACTTTGTGGAATAGGGGAGCTGTGCCGAGCTAACAGATGGTGGGGAGAGAAGGAGCTTGGCCAGTGACCGCGAGGCTCTGAAAAAACAGAATGGTGATGTAGAAACAGCCTCTAATGGACAAAGCACCAAGGAGGAGATCATCCAAAAGAGGGACTCGGGCATAACGGCACGAAGGAAAAAAAAATCAGGCTGATGAGAAAAGCAGAGCAGAGAGGACCCTTCCGTCTCCGTGACCCACAGGCTCTGTAATAAGACTGTAGCAGGAGCACTAGATACTATAGGAGGTGCTGGTGGTCACAGCATGAGTGTCATACCTTCAACTCAGACCCTCTTGATTGGTAGGAAAGTTGAAATTCACCTGATTTAACAAGAATCCCTTGGAGCCTCCACCAGTGAAGTTCCCTGTGGCCCTAGTCTTGCCCTGGCTGACTAGCTAAAATATCGGGAGCCCTGGTTAACCAAAACCCAGAAGTCAAAAGCTACCATTCTTTAAGTTGTGACATTTTCTCCCTTCCCACTGCTTGGCTTTGCCCTTGTGGAAGGCATTTTCCTACTCATTTGACAAGCAAGGGATTGTTCACCTTGTCTTCTTTGTGTCGGAAGGAGGGGGAATCTGGGCAATTCACATGGCTTTGAGTATTTTGCCTTCTGTGACATTCATCACTAGGCCCCAGGGCTGTGCTGCGACACTCAGACCTCAAACTAGGGCTGTGAAGCTGTGCAAAATGGCTGAAGCCGTGCAAGGGCCCTATGTTCTCTATGTACAACTCAACACCTATTAGGACCAATAACATCTTTTTAAAGCAAAATATATCATTTGGCCTTAAGCTCAGCCGATAATGTCCCTTTATTTTTGATCTTTCCTTGCAGCAAACATTCCTTTCACACCCACACACATATCAGCATCTTCACTCATTGGTCTGTCTTTGCATCTGTCATAGTTTCCGTAGTCCAAAACAGTTGAACTTTTCAAATGCCTCAGTCCTTATTCTCTTCTGCCGTCTCTGGCATTAACAGCCAGAGCAAACAAAGGACCGAAATATCTGTCATTTTATCAAATTGTTTCAATTTGTTTCTGGCACTGCAGTTGGTTTGGATGAGGATTATTTGTGTAGCTGATTTTGCGTAGGCTAGGTGGTTCATAATTGTGGTGGAGTGCATGCATGTGTGGCTAGAACTGGTTGTGCGTTGGAGTATTTCTTTGAGGTGCTCTTTGTTTGCATGCTGTGGGTTCTGCTTTGGAGCCGACCTGGTGTTTTGCTCTCTGTGTTTGTGGTGGCATTCAGTTTGTGTTGAGTTGTTAGTTGTTTTGCATTTGAATTGAGCAAAACCAGATTCTTCTCGGGATCACGGGGAAAGATGGGTGAAACCGAAAAGGGTTCAGACTTTTGGTTTGGATGGCACCCAAAAGAATGGCTGCTTATCAACCAAGTAGCCCAGTCCCTGGAAAAGAGCTACTAGTCTCAAAAGGCCTTCTAATAAGACCCCCAGAAGTCCCCATTTCTGAAATACCGCCATAGCCCTCCCCCATGCTATTTTTGCTCCTCTACTTCCATCCAGGCCCAGCCAAGAAGGGAATGGACAAAACAGCCTCCAAAAGTTAACCAAGTTTATCCTCCCAGTCTCAGACATTCATCTCAGGGACAGAATGTGGGATGAAAGCTCCTGGTTTCTACACTTTGTTGACTAGTTGCTGCAGACTAGTTGCTGGAAGCTGCAGACTCAGAAGAAGAGTGGCAGGAAAGGGTAGGGCATCACTGGTCTCAGGCAGTAGGGGCTGTTCTTCCTAGCAGTCCATGTTAAACACACAGGAGAGCCTCAGCCCCCTCTGTACAGTTGTAAGAGTTTAAGTCTTGGAAGTTCCTTGTGTCTAGGAACAATCACCCTTATCAGGTCTTCCAGGCTGATAGGGGTGATTGATCCTCTTCCACCTTCCCAAAAATCAATGAGGTTGTCTTTTTTTCAAAATCAAAATGATTCCAAAATCAAAAACAAAAGGAATACATCAGCAGTATTTTGATAACCAAGCCCAATGAGCACGATGGGGACAGTTTCACAAGTGGGTTGGCACAAGTCTGAGATGCTGTTGGGAAATGATTAAAGCAGGCACTGAGTTACAGTGTGGTCCACAATGTGCAATTGCTGTTTGCAGTCACTTTGGGCATTGTCTCTTATCTTCCAGAAGAATATGATTAAACCATCTCCACTGTGCCATGTTCTGAAAGGATTAAATGAGGAGCACTGGCTGTGGGTAAAGTTGAATCCTGGAAGGTCTTCTGTGGGGTTGGCAATTAGGTGGCAGTGGTGGGATAGGGTGGGATGGGGTCATTAGCATCCTTCCAGAAATCTTTCCAGTGTGCCCCAGGACTGAATGAAGACGCTTGAAGATCTTTAGCCCAAAAGGCTTGTGAGGTTTGATGGGAACAGTTTATTCCAGACTCACAAAGAGATATGAGCTGCACAGCCCTTCTTTGCCTCAAATAATTGATGGTGATCCTAACAGGATGTCCAGAAAGAATCCACCATTGTTTAGAGGCTCCAGACAAAATTTGTGACAGACATATCACACTCCGGGAATATGTGGGGAACACAGTCCTGCCATAATCCACAGGAGCCGACATAGATGCACCCTACACATCCAACAGCAAGTGTTTGTCTTCACCTTCAAAGTCCTTTGCAGCCTGTCCCCAACCTACAAATCAATTCTCAATCAATATCATGACGTTGACTCTTACCTCCAACAGCTTCCATTAACCACTTAGATTTTTAAGCTCATCAGGCTTGGGAGATGTTCCACAAAGCTACCTCATTGTCCTCTATCAAATTCCTCTTAAAAGGCCCCTTTGCTATGGTTCCTGCAGAAAACTCGTCAGTGGTTATACTGGTGATGTGCTATGATGACTTCTGCTCAGGATGACCCGTATTGTTTCATTGGTGCTTGCATCCATCTCGTCTTTTGCTTATACTTAGATTGTGAGTTGTTTGGGGCAGGCCCCATCCATTTGTTCTGTATGGACTTCTGGTCTGTGACTGGAGCTCCCGAGGGCTCCAGGGACACGACTAACAAGGACTGGTCCTGCACACTTCCCATTCCAGATGCAATGCTCTGCCATCTCCCTTGGGTGACAGGACACCTGTGACATTTGTCCTGCTCATTCATTTTCACAATATTCCCTTCTTTTTACAATGGCCTCAGAAAAGGACTTATCAATAGCTCACTGCTTAGAGGTTCATTCATTGCATAGAATAAGGTGGCCCAAAAAACCAAAGACAGGCCATCTGCTACCTTTCCTTTACTATATTGACTGGCTTTGCTACACCTAGAATGATCCTTTTGTGCAAGAAGGTTGGTCTTATCCACTGTCTGCTCCTTCTATTTCTTGATTTCTGTTTTCCTTCAAGACACCCATTGCTCCAAGTCACCCAAAGTGAAAGGACATCCGCTATCCCACCAAGCATGAATGTGAAAAGGGATCCCTATGTTTTGAGAATCCCTGGGGATCAGTATAGATGGCTACTGGATAAAAGAAGCATGAGTACTGAGCGGTGGCCTCTCCTGATCTTCCATGAGAGACAGGCTGGGACCCATGGAGGATCCCTGCTGGCTTCAGAGCAGCTCCGACTTCTTCTGCTGCTCTGACAGCTTCATCATGGCTTTGCTTGCACATCTGAGCACTGCATGCTCCATATAATGAATTTCTTTATAAAAAAGGGACCAGGATGGGGACCCTGCTCCCTCCCTGTTAAGCTACTGTCCCTTCCAGCCCTTTGATAATTAATGTGACTAACTTCAATTTATAGAACCCCTCCTTACACACCTGAGTGCATGAGTCACAGAGAGGCAGGAGCTGTTTGGCACTGCAACAACACTACCCGGTAGTTTAGGACAGGAAGTGAAGACTATCACTATCCAATTGAAACACAGAGCAGAACGTGCAGGAAGCAAAAAAAGGCATCCTGGTGTGTCAGCCAAATCAAGCACACCAGACCAAAAACACTGTAAAGACCCAAGTGACAGGTGATCAATGTGCTTCTGACAGGCAGCACCCTGCCACCTAATCAATGCCCTGGAGAGAGGATACAGCACTGACTCAGAGGAGGAGCACCAAGCCTTGTGAGTCACCACCAGCACTTCCTGCAACACCTTGGGTTTTCCTTTGAGGTCTCTTCTGGTAAGGACCCAACCCAACCCTGCTCAACTTGTAACCAGATCCAAGCAAGGGATGGGATGACCTGTAGGCTGCCAAGCCTCACAGCCAGCCAGGACAGAAGGGGTGGGAGTGTCTGAAGCTCATTTTCATCCAATGAAAACTTCCTCTCTTCGTTGCCTCCACTTATCTTTACAAAGATCCCCTTCCCTAGACAATAGGGGGTTGTCTCTGTAACTTTCCTACCCCTGCAGCCCAGCTGTCCTTAAGAGGTTGCTTTCCACCACATGCACATTATTTTACTGGATCATGGATCATCAGTTTGCTTCAGCATTCTCAGAGCAAGTGGTGCTGTGGCCTTTTGCACTGGGAAATGCCTGTCAGGAGGCAGGGAGGCAATTAAGATCCACAAAGAGAGACACTGGCAGTTCCTCAAGGGTTGAATCCTCTGGAGTGTAAGAAAGGTTCCTATGGGGGGGTGTTAAGGAGGCATTGATCAGTGACTAGAAGGTGTATATTATACATATTTTTTTATACACACACACATATATATACGCACCCACATATATATACGCACCCACACACACACATATATACACACCCACACACAGACATTATATATATACACACACACCCACACACATATATATACACCCACACCCACGCATACAGAGACATATATCTATACACATACACACACATACACATATACACATACATATATACACATACACACACCCACACACATATATATACACATACACACACACACACATATATACACACCCACACACATATATACATACATATATACACACACACACACATATATACATACATATATATACACACCCACACACACACACACATACATGCATACATACATACATACATATACACCCACACCCACATTTTTACCAAAAAAAAGTAAGAAAGGGTTAACAAGCTTTGAAACATGGAAAGAGACAGGGTGGGGCTGATTTTCCATTGTCCTGCCCTTTATGTGATCATTTACACGGGGACTAAGTGCGTGCAACAGGCTCTGGAACTAGAAGGGTAGTATTTCATACCTAATTTGCACCTCTGTAAATGGTTGGCAATGGAGAATTGGGCCCTGGGTGTCAGAAGAAAGCAGGCTGGACCACTCCTCAACAAGTCCTTGGGGACACTGAACAGCACAAGCTCCAAATGGCATCTATCTCTACTCCTACAAAGCCCTTCACTATGTGCCAGGCAGCTCTTTCAAGCAGTTGTACCAGACTGTCACCCCCTATGAACCAGAAGAGTCCTCTACACAGGTACAAGCCAGGGCACTGATCTCCAGGAATCCAACACATCTGCTGCATGGAGATGTCCTGCTGCCCACCAAGCACAGGTAGAAGTTGTGCTGGCTGGGAAGGGCATGCAAGGAAACCTGGCCCTTCCATTGCCCTTGCTGTACCTATTCTAGGGACCTCATAAGCACTGCTGCCCAGGCCCCATTCACCAGCTCTACATCCACTTACTGTTTTAAGAAAAAAATCTTTAATTCAAAGCTGATGCTGCCTGTTCCTTTCATTTTCCAGGTAGATTTGTCATGGATCTGAACTGCACAGTGAACAGATACTTGTGCCCACAGCTGATCCTTTATTAGCTGATCCAACACAGGAGGACAAACCACTCACTTTTTTAATGTAAATGGTGTGCTACAAAATACAAAATGGACTCTAAAAAGACCGAAAGTGCTTCCGAGAAATGTCTCAAAGGGTTGAGATGAAGGGAACAGTCCATCTCATCGGCTAGTTTAAAAACTCTGCTTTATGGACTGGAACAAGTAGCCAGTTCTGAACTTAGGAACAGAAGATGGAGTATAAAATGTACTGTGGTATTCTGCAGCAATGATTCAACCCACGAGAGCTTAAAACAGAATCACTGCAATGCTTGGGGCCATCTCTTTTGTAAGGGCAGAAGCTGAGGAGGAGGGAAAGGTGACTGTATAAAATCTGACCTGCTAACCCCTAATCAGTGGATATATATTTGCAGTTAATGCAAGGTCTCCATCAGCAATCTCTGGCTGTACCCATGTGATGGTAACAACAACCCTGCTGTTACTCACATCCACATGGAAATAAAGGGTCTCGACTGTCAGCAGAAATCCCCTTCTGGCAGGCAAACTCCTCCCTAGCTCAGTGAGTCCAGATGGCAGTGCTGCTTCTCTCACTGGCTTAGACTCAGTCCAGCAAAAGTCTGAAGGGGTCACCAGTTTGCTATTCACAGGCCAGCTTCCCATCAAAGCTGGACAGGGCAATAGCAAAAGCCTGCACAGCACACATCGGGTAGTTGTAGTCCATGGTGAAAGCATCATCGGCCACACGGCCAAACTGCATCACAATGTAGTCAACTGAAAGAGAGGAGAAAAGAAGCCATCAAGACAAACATGCCTATGAAGAGGTTCATGGCTTACAGGAAGACTTGGCATCTATACCTGTCTGTCAGCCATGTGACTAAGACCTGAGGCACTCAAGTTCAGTCATACTTTTGCAATTTCTGGCCTAAGAGGCTGCATGCACCCAAGGCCTCACAGTCCGTGGCCAAGCCAGGAATTGAATGCAGCTCTCCAGTGCTGGAACAAGTCAGCAAACCTCTGAACTCTCTCTAGTTTCCCCATCTGTACAAGCTGCGATAAATAAGCAACCCTGCCTTTCAGAGGGGCCAAAAATAGTTTCACAGGGGCTGTGAGGTGTAACTCATTAATTTTTGCAGAGTCCTGGGAAATCCTTCTGGGGGCCACCCAGTGCTGGAGAGTGGGGTGAATGAATTGGAGCCACCCATATCCATCTAACCCACCCTCCAGCACCGGCTGAAACCCCCCCAGACCAAACCCCCTCCCCTCCTATTCTGAAGACAGTGCCAGAACCAGGACTGAGCCGTGTCAGCCCAGCCCCAGTCCCAGCGCATGCAGACACAAGTTACTGTAGGCACTCGGTTTTGGAGCGTCTTCACCCGAACCCGCATGCAATGAGGGTTCAGACTGTTGCAAGATCAGGCCCTTTTAAAGCACTCTGTAGCCATGCACTTGTGTTTGTGTAGAGTGCTTCAGGGGCCAGACTGGGCAAAAATTGTCACTTCTGTCTGCACCTGTGTGAAATGGTTTAGCGAAAGGTCATTGGGCTCCTATTGAAATATCACACAGCCGAGCAGAAGGGGCTGGGGAGGGTGGGGCTGTAGCTTGTCTGCAGAGCTCAGCCACCTGCCTGACAATAAACTTTGTCATTTAATCCAGGGACCCATCCCCTTCCCCTCCTGGTGCAGCTCCTTTACTGTTAGGAACCCAGGACACGGGCGTCTGAACCGGATGCCTCTCCAGAGAGAAACTGCCCCTTGGTGGAATTCCTGCCCGGGGCATTCTCCACGCTCCGGTGTGCTGCCCCATCCCACCGCCCCGATCACAGCTTTCTTTGTTACAGCAGCGAGGGTGACAGGAAATCTGTAAAAATAACCAGGGGCCCCTGGCAGGTTCTGTCTGTCCTGTAATCCAACACCCGGGACACCAACGTCCCCTGATTGGACTGGACAGGTGACGAGCCAAAAAGTCCCTTGCTGCTCATGCTCGTAGGAAAGCAGCTTAGCTGCTGCTCAGCTATTCTGAGGTGGTCTCTCCAGGGCATGTCAGGGGCAGAGAGGGTGGGGGCTCCCCAGCACTCCCAGGGGGATCAACAATCTTGAACTTTGAACCTTCTGACCTTGGGGGATTTTCCAAATCCAGCAAACCCTGGAAGCCAATGAAGCAAAGGGCTATTGTCTTCAGCATCTGCCCCAGAGCAGAGCAATGATGGGATTGTTTCGGCCTCACCCCCTGCTCCTGAGCATGGAGTCTGTGCAAGCCCTATATGCCACTGCACTGCCACTTATGTCCACGGAGCAGATTTTCAGATGGCCTCAGCACCCACAAAACCCCCACCTCTTCCTGGGATGCCCGAATTAGTGACTATATCTCACCCCACTGGGTGTTAAGCTGTTTTGGCAATCTGGCCCCAGTGGAGGATGCTGAGCACATCACAACTGAGCTGTAAAGACTTTATTTTTGGCAGTGGGGGGATGAGGTGGGGGGGGTAATAGCAATCAGGCCCACAGAGCTTAAACACCACTGAAGTGGGGGACCAGTGGGCTCACACTGGCCTCAGCACAGTGATGGATTTCTCTCGCTCTGCTAAAAATGCCTGTGGCGTATGGGGACTTCGCACTTAGGTGGATGGGAAAAATGAACTCGAGAAGGAGCAGTGCAAGCCTGGTGGAAGCAGACACACCTGTGCTGGTGTTGGTGGTGGCTCACCTTGGGGCTGCCTGGAGCCATGCTCTGGTTTGGTGCTTATATAAAGAAACAAGATGCCTTGGATCAGTGAGGAACTCTCCACTGCTCTCCTTGCTCGCCTCACAGGCTCTGGGGTAGGGGGTGGGAAATCACTGGATGTCTCTCCTCTCCTGCTCCTCACCGTCTGGTCCTGTGGCCAAATGGCCCAAATTGGGGCTCAGATGTCTCAGGGCTCTCCCCTCGGCAGGGACCCTGTCCAGAGTGCACCCACACCTGCCCAGGTGTCTCTTTGCTAGGGCCTCGCTCACTTAGTGACCAGCTCAGGGTGAACCTGAGCCAGGGGCACCAAGCAAAGCACATCAGCTCTGTCACTTAGGTATGAAGGGAGAGGGCTGCAAATGCTGGGAAGGTGCCTGCTATCAGCAGCCCAGGGCTGGGGTGAGGCTCTCCAGGCCTCCCAGGCTCCGTACCCACCTTAATTAGCCCCAAGGGCAACAAGCAGACTCAGTGGAGAGCAAGAGCAGCGGGCTCCCCCCAGGTACAATGCTGTCAGGAGCTAGGTCGCCACAGCATCAGCATCCTCCTTCTCCCTAAAGGTCCCTTACTGAGCTGAGCCCCTTGCTTGAACTGATTGTGGCTAGGGCATTGCAGGGCCCCCAGGTTCATTCTCTCTCGGGTCAAACAGGCTCCAAGTTTCCACGCTGCAAACGGGCCTCTTTCCAAGTGCAGCTAGCCCACGCCCAGCTGGGACCTGCACTCTCACCTGCTGCAGAGACTCTGCTGTCACAGCTGAGTGCCTGACTCTGCTGCCCACAACAGAGGTAGAGAGATCTCAGCTCAGCTCCTTTTCTAGCTATGTTGGCTCTGAAGGGCTGTCAGGCGCAGAAACTTCCTTTTGCTCAAAATGCACATGAAGAGCAGAGATGGGTTAAGTGACCCTGTAGCCACGGATCGGTGACATGGCCCTCCAGGGCTCCCGGATTTTGCTCTGGGTGACAGGGCGCAGCATTGTCCTGTTGTTCCACATCCTCCACTGGCTCCCAGTTCCCTTTCAGTTCACTGAAGACCCTCCCTCCAACACCATTTAATGGACTCGGCAGATCTCCTTTGAGACAAGGCTGCAATCAATGGCCAGACTCAAGAGAAAGGCCTGCTAGCCTGGTGGGAGGGCACTCATTAGACCCTTCCTCCCTGTACATACATCTACACACATGTGCACACGCACACACATACAGCTTTGGGAAAGTTCATTCGGGGACCCTCCAGTGTCTCAGGCTCTGTTCTGCCTGGCTGGGGGAATCCGGCTCTGCATGGCAAACCTCTCTCTGCACTTACGGTCGTTGCTGTGCACGATCTGGAAGTTCTTGACGGAGGCATGCGTGACCCTGCCGTGGAAGTTCAGCACATATGACTGGGTCTCATCATTCCACACAGGGGCCTTGTTGTGCAGCTCAATCAGGTTGTCCATGTTCTTGTTCTGCCATCTCATAAGCAGCCCGTCGTTATCCTGGGAACAGGGAGGAACATGCTCAACGGGTAATGTCAGAAGGGACCAGGAGACCCTCTCTGCTTCCAGAAGTCTCTGCAAACATTTTCTTGCATCTGTGCAGGCTGTGTGCCATGCAAGGTTGCCTGCAAACTCTTTCCGACGTCAGTGAGAGCTGGCCATGAGGCAGCAGAGCATTTCCTGAATCCCATGTGTCTATCTGGGTTGTGCATGCACCTTTCACATGCCGTGATCATCATCACCTCTGTGCTGTGAGGCCCCTCTTGTTCTAGTCTACTTCTTACACCTGCCTCTCTCTCTGGGCTCCCAGTGTTGAGAAGGGATGCTGCCACTGCCCAGCGGACTAGTTAGAAAGCAGCTGCATCACGGAGGAAAGGGATCCTAGTTGGAGGTTGGTGGGAAGCAGGTTTACATTTTTCACCATTTCTAAACTTATGCCATTCTGTATCAAGATGAAACAGGATGCTGCCCACCCCATGATGGTCAACAGCCAGAGGAGTGTGCTCACCTGGGATGAGGGAGGCCCTGTGATCGGTCTCCCAGTCCCTAACCACTGAGCTATGCTGACCCGGGTCCCTCTTGGCCTCCCCTATTGGATTTGTTTCACTTAACTAGAGACTGACTGGGCCTGAAAGAGATTGACCATATAGCCCGGTGGTTAGAGAGTTTCAAGGTTCTGCACCAAAGACAATTGTCCAAGTTTTTAAACTAAGTGGAACAACCCCAAGAGGAGATACTGAAGCTGACCCCAGAAAAGCCAGTAGGTCAAGGCACTTACCAAAGCTTCAGAAAACCCAGGTTCAAGTCCTTGCTGGGCCTGACTTGAAGCAGGAACTTGAGAGCAGGGCTACCACATGAATGCCTTGCTCACAGGTTAGTGTCTGTTCTTGGCTGGGGTCTCCGTCTCCCACCTGCAATTCCACCCTACTGCTGAGAACACCTCCCTGACTAGTTTCCTCTAAGCTAGCCGGGTCCTCCTAACCCTGTGGGTCTCAAAGCATCAGCATTTTCAAATACGAACCTCAGTCCTGATCACCAGGGGTGCCTGTAGATATGTGGGGACACTGCTCCGATGTGCTGTAATTACAGCATTGGAGCCGACTCGATTAATCTGTGTCTTGCATATCAGCTTCTGTGTCTTGTGTATCAGCATCCCTGCACTTCAAAACGGTGGCAGGGGTGCTTTAACTAAAGCTTGTTGAACAACAAGCTTTAGTTAAAGCACCCCTGCTGTCATTTTGAAGCGCAGGGACACTGATACACGAGATGTTGCAGGTGCTTTAATTAGACTGGCTCTCTGAGCCGCTCTAATTAAAGCTCCCCCACCCCCAGAGCATGTGTAAAGATGCCCCAGGTTGCTAACTGGTTGCTTTGACTCACGTTTCGAGGCCGGATGGGCACCCTTTCGTTGTCCGAATTCATTCCAGGGATGATCACCGTCATCTTTCGGGGTCCTTTGAACCCTAAAACATTGGTCTCCTGAAACAGAAACCCCAGGAAGCCCATCAGGCAGTCCCCTTTTGGCTCAACAAGGGTACACCCAAAAGCTGCTCAATGATTGACAGCACTGTTCCTTGCACTGGCCCCAGCTCCAGAACAGGCTTGTGTGAATGGGACTCCTGTCTAAACAGCCTGAGCCCCAGTGCCCCACGCTGCCCTGCCTCCCTTCCAGTGGTTCGGGGCAGTACAGGTGGGCGGCACCATGGGTGAAGTGCCTCGCCACTGCTCTGTACATAAGCAGAGGACTCCAGTCCCCAGGTAGGACCCAGGGCTAAATCCAGGAATCAAGGGCTCTGGCACCGATTTCAACGGACTCAACACCATGTACTAACTACTGCTCCCATGGAGAGCTGCTCTGTGCTGAGGGGAGGCTGGAGGGAGCCCAAGGGTTTGGTACTTACATAAATAACAGCTGCCATCTCCTGCCGCACATTCGACCAATCAGCATTTGCTCTGTCGGGATTTGCGCCATTATCGAACACCGTAAACTTGGTCCCCATTAAATTTGATCTAAAACAAGAGTCAGAAACAAGACTGAGGAGGCTGGGGGTGGATGCTGTGCTGCTGGGAACAGCAGACCCAGGGCATGTGGGCAGCGGGACCGATGTGCAGTCTAAGGGTCTCCAGGCTTTTGTAGTGGTTCTTCAAGCCCAGATCTCTTCACTATGAGCTGGGACAAGGGCTCTGCTCACCCTCTCATCAGAGGAGCAGACAGCCCCTGTGACATGCTGCAAGTTAGCTGCACGCCAGTGGCTCTCATGGGTCACTGTATAGGCGTGCAAAATCTGAGCAGCCCCAACCCAGGCCCAGTCCAACCATGTCAGACTCCAGAAGACTAATGTTTGCAGGGGAATGGTCCCAGCTTTCTCCTTCCCCTCCGTGCTGGTCCCTTGGACCATGGTATCCACCAGATTGCCTGGGCGGTTGGGGCTAAGTAGCAGTACTTCCCTGGATACCAGAGCAGGCTTTGCTGCAGGCATGGATTGGATCTCCATGTTTCCCAATAACCCTTCTGACCAGCGCAGAGACCCATCTGGGCTCCTCGCCGAGTCATTTCCAGACATTCCCCACATTCCTCCCTGCAGCAATTGTTGTTGTGTATTAGGAGGCCTGGCAGATAAGGTGCCGAAGCAGATACAAGACCCACGGGTGCCTGCTACAGACACGAGAACAGGGCCAGATGCCCCTTGTGGAACCTCTGGGCTGGAGAAAGACATTTCAGACTGATCCATCTGTGAATGGCTCCAGCGGCTCTTGCTCCATTACTGCTGCAACCGCATTTCTAGGCATGGAGGTTGCCCTAGTTTAAGATCTGATTTAGTTAAACAACAGGAAGGCTGTGTGTGGACACCTCAGATGAGGATTTCAGCTAGCTACATCATTTTCACTTGCACCTGACAATGCATCTACTCCTGCAAACCTGATACAAGCCTGGTTCAATCTGCGTTCAGAGTATCGACACACGGAGCTGCACTAAACCAGCTTAACATCGCATCTGCAGCTAAACTGGTGCAGGTCTTCTGGAGGCAGCACTGTGCTGAGCTGAGGCCTAGGCAGAGGCTCAGATATCTGAGGCATGGGGCTAATTCCTGCCATTTAGGTAGCAAGGGTAGGAGACTCCTAGCCCTGTCTGGGAACCTCTCTCTGAGCTGCTATCCCTTTGTCTACTTCCCACTCCATGAAACCAGGACAAACTCCTCTGGCCTGCTAGGATCTGTGTGGCTCCCTGAGTGCATTATCAAGTTGTGACCTGTTTCTCCCTCCGAAAGAACCAGACAAGCCAGTTTTCCCCTCTCTGCCCCCCAGGGACACTCCCAAGGCCAGAAACAGTAATAGAAGACTCCAGTTCCAGCCAGCAAAGCTGTGACCTCCCCACCTCATCTTGCAATAAGCTCAGAGGGACTGAGCCTAAGTGCCTGGGGGAACAGCAGCCTAAACTACGTGCCCTGCCCTTTTACATCCGCCTTGTGTCCACAGGCAGTGATTACCTTAGATCCTCCTTCTACCTTCACACCAGTTTCCTTTTGGGGCTCAGGCATTGTAATGGGCCCAATCCTCCATTCTGCACGGTCCTTGGACTCCCTTCCCCGTGACCCCACGGGATCACATAACTGCGTAACCCCCACAGACCAGTGATACCCCTCTCTGTGAAGTTTCTGTGCCTGTTGCCTCTGCACGGACAGCAAAGGGCAGCAGGGGGAAGCTGAATGGTGCAGCCTGAGCCTCCAGCCTGGGGAGGGGAGGGGAGGATCATCTTCTATCCAGTGTCTCTACAGTGTTTGGGGATGAAATCAGTGCCAGCAAAAGGAGCTGAAGGGTCATCCTTGCACACTGATATCCTCCATTCATCCCTGCAGCAGAGACAGCCTAGAGAAGGCTGCACCAACACCATGCTCCTCCTGTCTAGGAGGACTCAGTCCCAGTGGCCCTCCTAGTCTATCATCAAGGCTGCCAGTGTGGGGCCTGATGAGTGCTAAATAAGGCATTGTTCTTTGTTATGAACAACTAACTGGCCTGAGACCTGTCCCCTTCCCCACAGGGGCTGTGTCCTTTTGTTTGTGGTGAGAGGGCCTTTGTAGAGCATTCACATAAGGGCACGGGGTTCATAGATGCTAGGGTCGGAAAGGACCTCAACAGATCATCGAGTCCAACCCCCTGCTCAGGCAGAAAAGAGTGCTGGGGTGAGATGACCCCAGCCAGATGCCTGTCCAGCCTTCTCTTAAAGACCCCCAAGGTGGGTTCACTCAGCTACAGTTGTTTGGTGACTCCAGAGCACGTAGAAGGCAGGGAACAGCCCAGTCAGCGGGAGAACCAAGCTGGCACAGTTCATGTGTGCAGGACAGAAGCCGAATGACACTGGATATTTGCACTTGGGTAAGCTTTTTGAAAGAATTATCCTGGCACATGTCTGCGAGGGGCCAGCAGGGGAGATTATGCTTAGAGGCAACCAACATGGGTTCATTAGAGGCAGGGCCTGTCAGACCAACCTGATTGCCTTCTACGACCAGGTCACAAAATCCTTAGACACAGGGGTTGCAGTAGACATAATCTTTCTGGACTTCAGGAAGGCCTTCAACACTGTCTCTCACCCCATTTTCATTAAAAAACTAGGAGACTTTGGCATTGATGCCTACACGGTCAGATGCGTCACAAATTGGCTGGAGGGCCGCACCCAGAGAGTGGTGGGGGACGGGTCTTATTCGACCTGGAGGGATGTGGGCAGTGGGGTCCCTCAGGGCTCGGTCTTCAGGCCTGTGCTTTTCAACATCTTCATCAGCAACTTGGACGAGGGGGTAAAAAGCACCCTGTTCAAATTCACAGATGACTCTAAGATGTGGGGGGATGTGGGCACGCTAGAAGGGAGAAATAAGCTGCAATTGGACCTGGACAGGTTACGGGGTGGGCGGATGAGAACAGGATGGGTTTCAACACTGACAAGTGCAAGGTGCTGCACCTGGGGAGGAGGAACCAGCAGCACACCTACAGGCTGGGGAACTCCCTTCTTGCCAGTGTCGAGACAGAAAAGGATCTTGGAGTCATCACTGATGCTACAACGAACATGGGCCAACAGCATGGTGACGCAGTCAGGAAGGCCAACCGCACCTTGTTGTGCATCCACAGATGCATCTCGAGCAGGTTCAAGGAGGTGATCCTTCCCCTCTGCGCGGCACTGGTCAGGCTGCAGTTGGAGTACTGCGTCCCGTTCTGGGCGCCGCACTTCAGGAGGGATGTGGCCAATATGGAGAAGGTCCAAAGGAGGGCCACTTGCATGATCAGGGGCAGCAGGGCAGGCCCTATGAGGAGAGGCTGAGGGACCTGAACCTGTTCAGCCTCCACAAGAGAAGGCTGAGGGGGAGCTAGTGGCCATTTACAAACTAGTCAGGGGGGACCAGCAGGTATTGGGGGAGTCCCTGTTCCCCCGAGCACTACCAGGAGTGACAAGAAATAACGGTCACAAGTTGGCAGAGGGTAGATTCAGGCTAGACATCAGGAGGTGCTACTTCACTGTCAGGGCGGCTAGGATCTGGAACCAACTTCCAAGAGAAGTGGTGCTGGCTCCTACCCTGGGGGTCTTTAAAAGGAGGCTAGACGAACACCTCGTCGGGGTCGTTTGACTTCAGTGCTCTTTCCTGCCATGGCAGGGGGTCGGACTTGATGATCTGCTCAGGTCCTTTCCGATCCGGCCAACTAGGAAACTATGAAACTGATACCAGCTGGGAACGTGCTCTGGGCCACTGGCAATGGGAAGCAGCAGAGAATGTTTCATGCCCAGCGTTGCCCTGTGCCACCGGCTGGTACCTCAGCTTCCCAATGAAGTTCTCCCCGCCGCGTGACAGATCCGTGGGGTCAATGGAAATCAGGTAGTTGGAGGTCTTGCTCTTTTTCCGCTTCCGGCCAGCCAGCAGGAACACCTGGAAGACACAGGAGGGCCAAGGCTGGATTATAGCAGGGCACAAGCTGACAGAAAGAGGTCCTGGTCTCTAGAAGTGAAGCCTGTGAGAGCTCCAAATGGCAGAGAAGGCAGCAGGCAGCCTTTATGCTTAGCAAGGCACGTGCTGGGAACCCAACATCCTCTTCACTGCCTTCCTGCTAAGTGCAAAGTTCAGCTCAAAGTTTCTGTTCTGATATTCAAAGACTTTGATGGGATGGGCTTAGCTACTTTGGAGACAGGCCACAACACCTCCATGAGCCCTGCCTCCTAGGGCAGCTACATTGCATTGGAGCAACAAAAATGTCAGCTCATGGGAGAAGCTAAGGAGTGAAGGAAACAGGGCGTACAGGGGCTGAGCTGGGACTCACAGCCACAAGAGTGAGTAGGCATCTTGCCTTCGTTTTGACCAAGTGCTAAACTCGTCTCTGTGATTTAGCTTTCCAAGGCTCCTTACCCCACTTGGGAACATCTTTGGTTTTCTGGGACACACTATGGCTTGCGCAATAAAACAACTTGTGAGTCACGCTAGTGGGACTTGTGTGTGAAGATAGTTGCACCATAACATCATGATAAAAGAGGAGGAAGTTGCATCAAGAGGCCACCAAGCTGAGACACGCTGTTGACCTCAATGACACTGCCCACCTCAGACACCTGCACAAAGTCCCCAAGTACTGGGTTTCAGGTAATCCACTGGAGGGCTAAATTCTTCACCCAGCTTCTTCTTAACACAAGACAGCTAGAACTTGACCTGCATCTGCTGCGATACAATAATCACGCTGGGTGTGATGAGCACAGAGTATTTCCTAAGAGGAATTACAGGAATATGGGCGGAGGGGACCAAATCAATTAGTGCATGGATGTGTTTCAAGTTGCTAGCTGCCACCCTAATCCAGAAACCGAGAGAGCACGCTGCTCCACTGACACCGCAGCACATGCTGGAGAGGAATTTGGGCACCTGGAGGGGCTAACGTGCGTCTGTGGGCTGACACACAGGGCCTGGTATAATGAGCAATGCTGAGATTCATCCTTCACCTATTGGTGTGTGCGCTAAACCACATACCTGCCGCACGTGCCTGGAACCACAAGGCAGACAATGGAAACATCAATCTCAGTCTGGAGTTTATTGAGGAGACATCAGAGATTGGGAAAACTGCCAGGGAATATTAGGAGCTAGAGAAGGAAAAGACCCACGAGGACAAACTCAGCCCTGGTACAACTCCAACAACTGCAGGGGCATACCCCCCACCATGCCAGGCCTCCTTAGCTCTTGGATGCATTCCCCTGTGCTCTTCCCAGCTGTATCCATAGGGAGGCTTGTCGCACAGGGCAGTAGGCTGGGACCTCAGCCCCCTGCTCACCTTTTTCTCATTGTCCAGGTGGACGTAATAGGTTGGGTAGAGGCCCCGATCCATTCCCTTCTTGTCTCGCGTCACCCGGCACTTGATGGTCACCCCCTGAGGGGCCGGCTGCAACACGAACTCCTCCAGGTTGTCCACTTCGATGACAGGGGAAGGAGGTCTCTCTTCCTTCTGCAGCCGGCCCGAGGGTGGGGAGGGGAGGAAGGTGTTAGGGAGGGTTTCTGCTGCCCCAGGCCTTTTCAGAGACTGGGGGCAGCCCGAACCGAGGCAGGCTGGGCCACGCGGGCTCATCACACCTCCGTGCATCTCCCCCCGGCTCCTGCCCTTCCCTCTTGTGCCACACTGGGGATCTCACTCCTTCCCTCTTCCTGGCTCAGCCACAGGCTCCTCTGCATCCCCCTGCCCTGCACCAACCCCCCCCGCCGCAGAGCCTTCTGGGGACCCGAAATGCCACCACAATCGCCCTCCCTCGCAGAACCACTGCTGGGATCCCCCTCTCCCACACGCTGCTGGCCTCTTCCAAGAGTCCCTTCCCACAGCCTTTTGCTGGGGGCCCTGCCTTCCCTCCTTCCTGGTGCCCTGCTGCGGGGAACAGGCAGCCTGCCCTCTTCCCATCCCCCTTCCCCTCTCCTCTCTGCAATTAAAACCAGAGAGATGCCTCCAGTCCCAACCCATGCCTCCCTGATTCACGCTAAGGAACCACAGGGGGAAAGGAGGCCACCCGGAAACCCCATTCCCAGAGCCCCTCTGGTCTAGCCAGCCTCGTACCTTCTTGGACTTCTTCCCTTTCCCTTTCTTATTGGAGTTCTTCTGGGTAGTTTCGGGGGCCTCCTCCTCGCTTTCCTCCTCGGCACCTTTGGGAGGAGCTGCCAGTAGAAACACACCATGAAACCAGCCTCCCAGACCGACTTGGAAACACCCCAGCCTGGTTAAGGCACTAAAGGCATGGGGCACCATCACTGCAGATGCAACAGCATGATTTCTAACTGCAGAGGCATCTGGTCAGAGGAGGGCTCTGCCTGGGAGCATCCCCTATTAGGAGAGCACTTGGAGGGCAGGCATGCTCCTGCCTTGAGAACAGGAGTTGGGGTAGATGACCCGCCAAAGCCCCTTCAGCCCTGTTTGTCTGTACTTTTTTAACCCTCCTTAGTCACACTCCCCAGAGGCACGGCACATGTAAATGCAAAGACACAGCGATGGGTCGTGTCGGAAGCACATCAGGAAGGAGCAACATGTTGGCTACAAGATGGTGAAAAGGAGGGCAAGGGACTAACCTTGGTCAGTCCAGAAGGGACCTCCTGTAGCCCCTGAAGCTGCTGTCCCCTGCCCTGATGGCACTTCTCCAAGGGACAATGTGCTTCTCCAAGACTGCTGCCAACACCATGGGTTAAATTAGCTATTCTGAGTTGGTCACCATCGTCTCCCTTTAGAGCCCGTAGTTGTACTCCCCCCTGCCTTTTTTCTTTTTTGCACTTCCGTGTTCAAATCAGCCAAATCAGTTCTGATTTCTGTCGACTGAGCAGAGCTCAATTGTTCGCGTCTGTGCGGTGCTACCACCGGCAAGCCTCTTTCCTCCCACGCTCTTCAGCCTGGGGCTTCAGATACTCGCAAATCCATGGCAGGCATCCTACATGCAGGCCCCAAGCCCAGGGGGTTTGCAGTTTAGATGCCTCCTAGTCTCACTTGCCCCTAGCCAAAGGAGCAAGTTAGAGGGAGAGCCCAAAAGCAATCCCCCATCGCCACAAACTGTGTAGCCAAGATCCTCATATCTGGGGACATTTGGAGATGCTCATAGGGGGCAGCCTGCCTACAGCACAAGGGGCAGGTGTTTACCCTCTAATGACACCAAGTCATTCAAGGCCAAGAAGAAGGGGGTCTCCCCTGCGAGGTCAGTAAAACCACCTGGGTCAAAAACGACCTCACGGCATCTCCCCTGTCATAGTAGTACTCCCCCTGGCCGAGGCTGAAACAGCACCTCGAGTTTCTCTTCAGGCCAGGTGCCCCGTTCATGCCCAGGTGCTGCCCTTGCCTAAGCAATCTGACTTAGGGCCCAGCTGTGAAGCTGGTGCCGAGGGCTGCCTACACCCACCTTTCTTCTTGGTTTTCTTCTCCTTGGAGCCGTCGCCCCCAGCCTGGAACATGGATGCTGTGTTCTTTTTCTTGTCAGATTTGATCGGCTTGGTGCTGGCATCAGAGTCATCTTCGGCATCGCTCTCAGCTGGAGCTGAGGGTGCAGGGCAGGGGCAGACAGATGGGGGTGGGAGAGAAAATCAATCCAGAGAAGGGGATACAGCAACTCTTCACACATCTCTCATGCCACTCATCTGTCACTTTGATAGACGCTGAGTAACCCTCCCAAAGCCCTGGGGTGTAGGTGAGGGATGTAAACCATAGGGTAATCACTGTACCCACTGCTAAAAGGAAGCCACCTCTGGGGGTCAACCTGGTAGCTGTTTAACAGTGCATAGCCATGCTAAACACAGCCAAGAGCAGGCAGTGAAGACAAATCCTGTGTACAGCTGAAATTCAGGCCAGGAGGATGGCCTGACCCCATGTGGGTCTGGGCAGGATGGGCTGGCCGCTGTGCTCATAGGAGACGAGCTCTCCTGATTCAGGGCTGCACAGCATCATTCACTTGGGAGATCAGACCAGCACCAGTGCAGAGCAGAGACCCTACCCAGTCCCCGCCACCAGCCTTTGAATTTTCACTGGGGGAGTCTCTGCTCCAAATACTGGCCACCTGGTCCCATCCTGCTTCCCTTCTGAGGCGAGATGGGACCACGGAGCTCAGACCTGGCCACAACCCCTCCCACAGGCTGATCCACATCTCCCTAGGTGCCAAGGGCAAGGGCAAGGCCTCGTAAGCCCTTTGCTGAGGGCACAAGGCAGTGGTGGGACCGTGGGGCAGCCAGGCCCCTTCACCTTTCTTCTTGCTTTTTTTCTCCTTCTTGTCCCCGCTGACTTGGAACATGGAAGTTGGCTCCTTCTTTGTGGTCTTTGCAGTTTTGCTCTTGGCATCTGGCTCACTCTTGTCTCCTAATGGGACAAAGAAAGGAGAGTGAAAAGGGAGGGCGAAGGAAAAGGCAGGAGTCAGCAGCTGGAAAGGTGAGGACAGACACGGGGACGATAGTGGGAGCTGAGAGGCAGGAGAGGGAGAACAGGGAAGGAGTGGAGGCAAGCCAGAGACAGAAAGGGAGTTGAGGAGCAGAGATCTGCCCAGGCTCTCACTGGACCTGAACCCAGGCTCCCCGAGTGCAAAGCTAGTGTCCGAACAACTGGACTATCCTTCCCCTCACTCGCGGAGCACATCCAACCCTTAATTACCTTCCCCTCCGGGGCTCCCATCACTGACCTTTAAGCTTGGCTTTTTTCTCCTTGCTTTCTCCAGCAGAAGCTTCTTTGGAGGGTTTGGGGGGCTTCTTTTTCGGCTTTTTTGGTGGGTCTTCATTCTCAGCCTCCTCGTCCTCCTCGTCCTCCTCAGAGTCCTCTGGAGATTTTATTGGGGTGGAAGTGGGGATCAGAAGAAGATCAGAGACACAAACCCATTGACAAGGTGATGGCAATGATGATCCTACGTGCTTTCCTGGATGAGCTTGCTCCCGGTGAGGGGCTACCTTGGGGCCCACCAGACTTTTGCTTCCAGGCTGTAAGGCACTGAACAGCAGTGGGTGACCCAGGCGCTCACACCTCTCCTGTCTTGCCTAGTCCAGGCTGGGGCTGAGGCCAAATGCGATGGCTAATCCCACAAAACTGGTTCTACCACAGCCAGCCAGTGTGAATGGGAACAACTGTAGTTGAAAATGTGCCTAAAAGTCTAAGGAAGACTTTCCAAGCCCCGAGACCTGCTCTTTGCTGAATGGGACTCCAACAGTGCAGCTTTGTCCCATATTCAAACTGATTTAGAAGTGGTGCTGGCTGCCTGGCCTACGCTATGCGAGCTGGGCCAGTTTCAAAACTGCTGAAAAAGAATAGGGGCATTTCCCCAGTGCAGATAAGGCTCCAGAGGCCTTTGACCCAGGATTTGACTTGGTAGAGCCTAGAAAACAAACACCTTTGTATTTGTAAGGAAAGAAGTGAGGATTTGGGGGGTGCATGGAGCAAGGTTGCCCCCTAGTGACCATCTTGCCTCCTGCGCTTTTCCAAGGGTCCTGTGTACTGTACAGGCTCCGCGCAGCCGTCTGTATAGTCCCTACAATGACTAATGCAGAACACACAACCTCTGCACAGTTCATGCAACAGCTGTGCAGCACATCCAACCTCTGTCCTCAGCAGAGATGTGTCAATGGCTGATTTCTTGTTGCACTGCCTGAACTGCAAAAAACAAACAGCCACGTGGGTGTTGAGCAAAAAGCTTTGTTTTATCTGAAACAAACTGCCTTGCTTTGGGGTTTTCTACATTAAAAGTCATTTTGAAACACAACAATCAACAAATTCAAACAAAATCAAATGCTTCAGACAAACCAAAGTGGGAGTTTTTAGATTTTTTTCCCCCACTTTGTTTTGGCCAAAGCAATTGAATTGGACACAGACTAGCTAATAGTTTTAACTGACCCAAATCTCCATTTTCTGGGGAATAAGAGAGTTGATTGAAAAATCTGCCACAGGGCTGATTCCAGCCTTCCTCTAACATCCCTGCAGGGAGACAGTAATGAGGACCTTGGCCGGGCCCTGTAGACAGCCAGCCATGAGAGGGGCCAAGGGCAGGAGCTGTTGTTAGAATAGGGCAGTTGTCTGCACAGCCAATGCACGTGCCCTCCAAAGCCATCACGGGGGCTGCTCGCTCTACCTGGGGACTGGGAACTTTCCCACCATGGAGCTTTTGTTGGTGTTTCAGACTGGAGGTGGCTTGATCCCTTAGGGGTTCAGAGAGAGCTCTCCAAGGAAGCCCGGAGATGCTTGGATGGGAGCACAGGGCCTGGTCTAGGACGAACGGATGTTGGGTCACGTTTCGATGACACTTGCAGTGTGAATGAGAGCTGGGGGAAGCTGTGTGTCTGGCCTGTAAACACAGTGCAAGCATGTGCTGCGGGACGGTGACACAGGTGTAGGTCTACATAGGGTGTACACTGCTTGTGAGCAACCAGAGCCATGTGCTTGAGCTGTGACTGCTCAGATGAGGGGTAGCAGGTGCCAGTGGAAGATGTGCAGCTCCTTACCCTGCTTCTTTTTGGAAGTTTTGGATGCGCTGAAGTTGGCCAAAGGACTTTCCTTCTTCTTCCTGGGGTCCTTGATGAATTTGGAGTACAGATCCTTCTCACCCCCCTCCTCTGGCTTCTCTTCCTTCTTCTTTTTCAGTTTTTTGACACCTGCACATGGCAAGATATTCCAGAGTGACAACGGACAAGGCAGGTGTGGAGAGGAGGGCAGCAGATGCAGGGAAGGTAGGGCTTGTGAGATCGTGGGCTAAATGAGACACCAGTAACCCCCCACCCCAGCACATGGTCACTGGGAGACAGGGGGCGGGCTTCTCACTACAAGACTGGACAAGAACAGTGGGGTGTTTGTGTCTGCAAGATCAGGGAGGGTCAGTCGCCTTCCCAGGTGGAAGGATCACAGCAGGGAGAGGAGGCAGGAACAGATACAGAGAGCACCTCACATTCACAGGGCCTCAAATAGGCATATCTGTGCCTCGCTGCCCTCTTCTGCACAGGCTATGCTCATATCGGGACCCCCTTTGGACCTTGCTCTGGTGCTCACAAAACACAGTTTGTGGAGGCAAAGCTTGGGCAGAGTGTCCCCAGCACTTTGTGTATGTGCAAAACTGAGATGTGTGTGGGTGCATCTGTTTGTGCATATGCAGATGGCCACAAAGCCCTGAATGCTGGCCTGGTCTTGCACTGTCTCCTGAGCAGGACAGGAGCAGGCTCAACCTCTTCTACCAGCTGAGCTCAGCACCTGGACCATGCCCTCCCATTGCCCGTGCATGCTGGGCTGTTCCTGCTAGCACAGCTGAGATTCTCAGGTCAGAACCGTACTGGGGACAGGTACAAGAGAAGAGACAGGGAGTGCTGAGGCTGTGCCTTGTCCTGGGACCAGGCCTGTGCTCCAACAGGGAAGGAGAGAGGCTGGCAGAAGGCACAGAGGGAATCAGCCATTCAATGAATGCTTAATCTGGGGGCAAGTGGTGCCGGAGCGTGTCCATGTGTGATGCCCACCCCAGTGTCCTTGTGCCCCGGTTCACAGTGCCCGCGGGCAGCCTACTCCAGGCTCTGTCTCTTACTCTGGGCAGGGGCGCTGGGCTCCTTCACAGGACTCTGATCCCCGGACTTCTTTGCTTTGGGTTTCTTCGGCTTGGCTTCTGCCAGGGGCTCCTGGCGCTTCTTTTTGTGCTTCTGCCCCAGTTGGACGCGCTGGATGGAGAGACACATTACTGACACAGAGCTGAGGGAGGAGGGAGGGAACAACAGAGCCCCTGCCCTCAGTCTCAGGTAGGAGCAAGTGCAAGCACTGCAATATGGTCCCATGCCAAGGCTGCTAACTTCCATGGGCCGAAGGCCTGGGGTCGACCCCCTGCCTGGGGGCAAGGGTGCATGTGCACAGCTGTAATGTTTCATGAGCCGGGTGAGCAGGTCTGCACAGGAGGGAGCACACAGGGAACAGACCTCACCAGCCCGGGAAGAGACCACAACCCTAACCCAGCCCCCACGCCCACACCCCTCCCCGCTTTGCCTCTGTCCCTTTGGGCCCAGCTCCGTCTAGCCCAGCTGGGTGTAACCAGGGGCATCAATGGGACGACACAGACATAACAGTGGCATGAAGGAGAGTTCAATCTATCCTGGGCATTTTCCTCATGCTCTTCCTTCTCTGCAGTGACAGGTTTCCCCAGTTTAACCAGCCCGTGCCAGCAACACGGCTCCCAAACTTCTGTTGTGGCAGAAAAAACAATGATAAACTCTCAATGTTCCTCGAAACGGCTTCCCCGTCCTCCTGCCTGCCTGCGACATGAACGGTGTTATCTTAAACATAGGGTTCCCCGCTCTGCTGCACCCCCAGCTCCACCCCGGCAGTGCACGGGAGTGACACGGGATAGCTGAATGGGGAAAAAGGAACCGAACAGCCCCGACAGGGGAAAGCAGAGCTTGCTGCCCTCCCCATTTTGAAGTCTCAGGGGTTAGCACGGTGTGTCCTGGTCCCTTAGTTACTTAGGGGCATCTTAATCTGACAGCATCCCTGTCAGATCTAGCCTTGCTGTCTGGCTCTCTCCTTCGCCATTGCATTGCCAGCAGGCTGATGCTCAGAGGTGCGCACAGATGTGAGCAAAATAAGCCTCTCCCAGCTGTGGCTGGCAGCCAGCTCCAATCTTAAACCAGGCTTCCTTCCAGCCCCGCTCAGATGCAGCACTCCTCCCCACAAGTGGAGACAGACCTGCTTTTCCCTGGGATTTTCATGCTGCTGAAAGGGGGTGCTGAGAGACCTGGACACTGCCTGATATCCTGCCAGAGAACAGGGCTGGGATGGGCGGCAGCAGCACATGCTTCCTTCGTGCTGTCCCAGGACACTTCTCTTAGATTGGAAGAGCCTTCCAGCTCCTTCTCCAGCCACGCATCGAGAGAGGGCAACATCTGTGTCCTCGCCAGGACCCACTAATGCAACACTGGAGCCCCCTCAGCACTACCAAAGGGCCCCGATTTGGACTGGCAATCTAGCTAGATCCAGTCCCCGTGCATCCCCAGCCCCTGGGCTGGTCTCTCCTCATCAACCTGAACCTGTTCCAGCTGCGGTGAAAACAAAAAAGGAAAAAGCCGTCCTAAAATCTCTTTCCAGCGATTACTTGTGCCTCGGGGAAACGGCTTCAAAGAACAAAAGCAAAATCATATTGGGGCACATTCTTCTAAGAACGTCTCCTGCCAAAATGACTCTCCAGTGAAATCCCCCCCGAATTTATCCTGTCTGTGAACTCGGTGCATTGCCCTCCAGCCTGTCCTGCCACAAGACATGCAAAACGGCCAGGCTTCTTCTACAGTCCTCGGGTCCAAGATTCCCTAGAAAGAAGCCGGACGTTGCAAACCCAGAGCTGTTCCACCAGAGAGTGAAATTCCTGAGCGCAGACTGCCCGCAGGCAACCAGGGAAAGACAACTGGCAGCAGGAAAAATGGCATTCACCCTGAAGCCAACGCTCTGGAGCGGGCACCCAGACACAGCACCGGCACGTTTGCACACACGCAGCCCCCGTCCAGAGCCAACCAAGTGCTGCGGAGAGGGGTTGCTGGCCGAGGGCCCAGCCTGCTGATTGCTTGGCTTGCCTGGAGGAAGAAAGGAGGACAGTGTCTGGGATTTGGCGATCACGCGGTATCACTAAGTGTTTGTACTGCTGGCGAGCGTAAGCAGGCAAAAAAACGCTGCAGTGAACCCACTCACGCTTCTCTAAGTCAGGAGGAGCTCCCCTCACACCCGTGGTAGTACATCAGCGTGCGGCCGGTAAGGGAGGATGTGGGTGCAGCCCCCAGGGACTGAGAGCAGCAAAGATCGGTGACAGATGAAGAGTGACTGCAAGTGAAATGACTGCCGGAAATAGAGGCACTGCTAGGCAGGAACGGGCCCCAAAGTCCATTTAGCTAAGGATCTGGTCTCCAAAAATGACTGACAGCAGCTGCTTCGGAGGAAGGTACAGGACAGTCTGTTCCCCCAGATCTCTTGACCTGGTCTCTATTAGACAGGAGTCAGCTTAAGCCCTGAAGGACGAAGTGTACTGTCCCTTCCAAAGTGGGTCCTCATTAACTGCGGCTCTGGATAGTCTTCAGTAGCTACCCGGTCTCTGCTCTGAGCACAAGCAAGAGCAATAGAGGCTAATAAGGATTAACTGAAGAAGCTGAGAGGATTGGGGGTGATAAGGACAGCAGCTTGTCAAATGAGGCAGAAGCCCCAGAGCAGTTGCTAGCAGACAGGTGTCCACAGCCAAAACGCACCCATTCAATTGGCTCTGGGTTGCTGGCACTCTCAGCAAAGAAGCCACCGAGATAGTTGGTTTCTGGAGATTAAGGTCTCCTTTCTGACACACAGAGGGAGCTGCCAGTATGAGGGCATCGCCCCGTATCTGTGCTGTGTGTGGCAAAAGGGAGGGTTTCAGTTGTCAGAGCTGCTAGTGCCTTTGCTTTGGAATACAAACTGGAGCAGGGAAACAGGAAGGAGAGTCCTTCAAACCTATGTGCAGAAGCCAGAAAGCAAGGATGAAAAATGATGCAGTAAAATGGGAGAAATGGGTGGATCAGTGGGAAGAGAAGTTATTCAAACCATGTTTCCAAAGAGGAAGAAAACCTCTGGCCAGTGCCAAAGCTGGAGAGCTGACTGCTGGGGGAGATGGAGGGTGTTTGAAGAACAACATATTTGCTCAGAGAAGCTTTTGCACACTTGGGAGATGGTAGGGTCTTGGCCCAGACTCTCTCTTCCAAGGCAGATTTGCTGGAGCTTAGTCCCCCACAATTCAAGCACCTTTGATGCAGGGCAGGCCTGCTCCAAAACCCCACAGCTCCAACGGAAATGTACTGGATTTGACTTCACTGAGCTGCAGATCAGGCCCTTAGATAGTCAGACCGATGGGACAGTCCGCTCCCCTGTTGGTCTGTAAGGTGCATGTCCCACTCTGCTAGCAGTCACACGGGGTGTGTGCTCTCTCATGCCCACTGGGATACAAGGATGAACTCACCTCAAGACTGCTCCTTGGGAGGGGACACGGGGACTAGACACGTCCTACCTGCAAAACCTGTTATTCCAAGAGACGGGTGCCATGTGTGGAGGGCACCCATGTGTTGGTCCTGGTCTCAAACAGTGCCCTGGTCTCAAACAAGTACCACACAGACAGAGACTAAAGCTCTAGAGCTAAATTTATCAGACTAGATTTAGCCACACAGTTACTATTGAAAGAAATAGGAACCATGTGTGCAACACCCCGTAGCCAGCTCTGAAATCTTGACCCAGCAGCTTCAACTCTTTGGCATCAGAACGAGACATTACTGGTACTAGACACAAGACAAATTCCCTCTCCAAGAGCAAGGGGCACTAAAATCAGAGGTGGGTATGAAGCAAAATTCAGAGTCAAGCCTTTCCCAGCTCTTGGCAAAGCCAGGACCTGAATGAAGAGCTCAGGGCTGCCCCTAACAACACAGAGACAGAACGGAGAGGGGCACCTGCTCAAGGTGGCATCTGGGCTCATTAGGGGAATGAAAACTAGCCAGTCCTGCCCTCAAACCAAGCCAGCCCCTACTGCAGCCGCACACACCTGCTAGCAAGAACAAACACTGGAGTGACTCATGTACTGAAATAGCACGGGCCCATGTCCACCCAGGGCAGACCACGCTGCTCAAAACACAGGGGCAGTCAGTACAGGGGCTGCACTTTTCAGCTCAGCTGCTTCCCCTGCTCCCGGAGCTGGTGGGAAGGGGTGCAGGGAGCTCTGCTAGGACGTGGGGGCAAGCGCCAGGTGCCCAGCATAAGAAGGAGCTAGCACCTGCCTCCTCTTACAGAGGCTGAGCACTGGGGCACTCCTCTAAGAAGCTCGCAGGCCCCAGTTGAGAACCACTATGTTAGGCCAATGATCACAAAGGAGAAAGACTTACCATGGAGCAGCCCAGTCAGGGAAAGCAAAGTGGGGGAAATGAGAAAGACCAGTTAGTGAAGAACCAGGGGACAGTCAGCAGGGCAGACTCAGGGCCCCATCCCAGCCCCAGGGGAGGGCTCCATAGCTTATATGATGCCAGCCAGCAGGGCAGCCCTAGGCACTGCTGTGAGGCAGCCGTCACTGCTCAGCTATAGCGGGAAGCCTCCATCTTTGCTGGGGGAGAAGGAGAAGGAACAGCTCATCTGCTGGGACTGAGCAGGCCCTATTTCATCCATGCTGCACCTCAGAAAAAGGATAAATTTTCCCCATCAGGACACTTCAGCCACTCATCAGAATGGGAGGAGCTCTCAAGTGATGGCTAGTGCAACCACCTATGTATGCAAGAAGGAAAGGCCCATGGCAAGGGAGGTGGGAGCTGTGAGGCTGCACGTGGCATCCGCTTGCAGACACAGAGAGGAGTAGGAGAGGTGAGGGAGTGCTTAGGAAGAAGCTGGAATGGTCAAATGCAAAGGGCTTCATAAGGAGACCAAGGAGGTTTGAAGAACTGGAGCCACCCTCAACCCCAGCCAGTGCACACCCTTCCTCTGAAACAGCAAAGGCACCTCTGCAAGGGCAAACTAGGCCCTGTGTATAAATTCCTCCAGGTGACGGAAACCCAGCGCCTTGGTCTCCAGCCTGCATGTGAAACACCGTGGGCTGGGAAGCACCCAGCCACTCGCATGGCCATAGAGGACCAGGAGGAGACTGTGCTAAAGACAACCAGACTCCTGTAGGAAACCGGCTGCAGGTAAAGGGATTTCAGTGACAGCAGGGTGCCCAGAAGTAGCATGGAAGAATACGGGATTGAGGTCAGCCAGAGACAGAGCATGAAGCAGAAGGATTAGAAGCATCACAGCTAATCTGATTTAGCAGGGCTATAAATAATGATGATTTATCAAGCACAGACCATGCAGCTGGGCAATTAGCTAAACAATCAGCATTCGGGATGTACCGGGAAATGTTGCCTGATGCAAGGCAGTGCAAGTCCTGCTGACTGGGCCCCTCACTGGATTACTGACAATCTCAGCGCTAGATCAAATCACTCTTCCTGTCCCAACCGGCCCGTTCCTCCACCCTGTTCCTGTGTGTGGGCTAAAGGTGAGGCTAACTTCAAACTGATATGGAAACCAAAAGGAAACAGAGCAGGTCTGAGTCATATCCACCAACTAGCACCATATATTGTGATAGCTAAAGATCCCATGGGATGCTTTCCAGGGGAAAGGATCTTAACTGCACTTTCCTGGCCAGATTCCAATGTACGTTCGGCCTCCTCCATGCTTCTCCTACGGCTTCATCTGGATGCTGGGTTCTCCTACGTGCCCTTCCACAAGCCAGCAAGTGTTGTTGCTGTGCATGGTTAAACAGCAAATGCACTGCCCTCCAGACAGGGTGCAACACAGGGGATGTGCCAGTTCATTAGTGCCCTCTAGTTCTACAGCACAGGCGGTGAACATGGTAGTATTCAAAGGAGGAAGAAAATGAAGCCTTTATATGGAGAGTTTGTTGCCAGTATTTTGTGCATGTGCAAGACACAAGATAAAGTCTTTGCTTAGAAAGGAAACCATATATTTTATGCATAGAAAATCTTCAAGGTCCATCAGGATGAAAGATGCAAACGTCACAGTCATTCAAAGGCAGCACCCTCGTCATCCTGTCTGCCAATAACAGCATCTAGTTGAGAGAGTTGGGGCATGTACAGAAACCAGCTTCTTGCTCTTATGCCATCAACTCACTGTGTTTCAGCCCTCACCGTTTTTCACTCCCTTTAGTCTCTTAATCGCAAAGCTAGCAAAGGGGAAGGGGAAGCAATTAACTTTATTACTTAGCTTGATAAAGCATTTTGATGATAGGCAGTTTGTATGAAAGGCTGCTCTTATTGTTGTTATTATTATGGCAGCGCTGCCTAGGGCTTCCACTGTGCTAGGTATTGTGTACTCGGGAGTGTATCAAAGGAAGTCCTATTGTAAATTCAATGTTTTGTTTATAGTAATTAGTAACAGCAATTAGATGTTCTGGTCTAACACCTTCTGAAACACCTGCTACCCATGGAAAGTGAATCATGATTGAAAGACTAGCTGAAAAGCTTAATGAAGACATTAATTAGGAATGTAAGATCCTACCACATTCGCAGAGCTCACCTGTAGCCTTAACCATTGTAAGTAAAGAGAGTTTTAAAAATAGTTTCAAATCAGCTCACACACTTTGGGTCTGGACTGGTTCTGCCTGAGATGAGCTGATCACATCAGGGCAGGGGCCTCACATCATGGACCAGATACAATGGCTTGTGCTCTTGCTCACCTTGCTCTGTGCTAGGAAGTCCCCTTCACATAGCATGGGACAGGCTGGGACTGGAAGCAGAGTCCAGCTCAGCACATCAACACTGGGATGCTGAGCTGGGCCCATCACAACCTCTGCTCGAAACCTGCTTATCAGTCCCCCCAAGGCCAACCCCAGAGGCACAGGACAGACTGCCTGGGGCCTGTGCATGCTGGAGAAAGCTGGACACATTCCCCTCCATCAGCAATAGCAACGGTTGAAGCTGTAGTGTCAATGGGGACTGGGCCAGCTCAATAAGGTTTGCAGACCCCCACCTTACAGGCTCCCCACACTGAAGCAGCACTGATGGTGAATGCAGACGCACCTTGGGAGGGAGTCTTATCTTCTCCCACTGCTCTCTCCCTCTCCAGACCTGGCCAGGGAGTGCCCTGAAGCATCCTGCAAACGGCAACAAGACTGGCTTCGCCCATGAACCTTTCTGATTGCATGAGCAAACAGCACCGAGGAGGATAACGCCAAGCTATGTCCAGAAGCTGGTCTGCCAGGCAGACCTGTGATTATCTTTCAGGACCTAAACCTGATAGGTGAAGCTACTACTCTAATGACCATGTACTCCCCTGATGATGTGGGTGTTTCCCTATATAACACCTGCTCAGATTAAGATGAAGGCTTAGCAGCAAACAGATTCCACTTGTACAGCCCTCGCTCTTTTTTTTTGGTTTAATTTCCATCTCCTTCCAAATTCTTTTTTTTTTTTTTTTTGCTTCCCAGTATACCGAGCTATTTCTAAGGTTTTTTTAAACTGGGCCCTTCATTTGATCTTAAAATGGGACAATAAGTAGGTTTGGGACCTGCAAGTGTCTCATCACAGCTGCATGTCACCTGGGCAAGCGGCTGTGCTGGGTGTTGCAAAGTACAACACGGTGCATTACACAGGACCGCGAGCATCAGAAGCGCTAGAACCAGGAACTCGCTGGGGGCCTGACCTGGTTTCTGGCAGGCTGGCTCTTCAACCCCAGAAATCACATTCGTTCCCTAGAGTCTCATGTCCAGACACAAACGTTATCCAAGAAAAAGCCAACTCTCAAGCTGGAAAGTCCCATAACTTAGGCTAAAGAGCCTGTATCTAGGAAGCCTGAATTCATCTCCTCAGTCACCCAGCTCTGACCCAGCATGGAAGGAAGGAGGCAAGGGGGGAAGATTGTCTCACCTGCTTGCTAAGTTTCTGATTCTGGGGGCTCCCAGGTTCCTCGTTCATACTAGAAGGAAAACACAGTGCAGTGAGATTAGCCCACCTTCATAGAGGACTGGCCATTTGGGGTGCCTTAGTTTTCAAACAGCTGTAGGAAGGAGCACCTGACACAAGCCTGACTGTCAAAGGATGGGTGCAGCACCTGGATAACACAGACCCTTTTGAGATGCTTCCAAGTGAGCATCCAGGAGTCACTAGTCCTTTCTGAAAATGTTGGCCTTGGTCTAAATCTAGGAGAGAATCGACCAGGTTTTGACCTTTGGATTTGCTTTATTCCCAGCTCGTCTAGGAAACTAGGAGATTGAAAGACTAACTGAAAGACTTAATTAAATCATTAATTAGTCTTCCAACCATGATGATTAGGAGAAGAGCCATGAACTGCATGCAGCTCCTTCTGCCTACCAAAAGGGCAGCCAATACAGACAGACTGCTTTGGGGTGTACGTTGCTGGGTTCCCACTCTCACCTCCCTTCCTTGTGGGGAGCAGAGCTCCCCACTTACTCCCTCTTCTGTCCACAAGTAGCAGTAAGCTGGGCACACGACTTCTTTGCCAGGGGATGGAGGAAAATCACCTCCACATCCACAGCATGCTCTGTGGCTAGGTTAAGAGTGAGAGACAGACCATGCACAGAGGACCCCAGTGCATCTCTAGCTGTCACTCACTGGTTCACATCCCCTGCCGGTCTCTGTTCCCAGCTGCCCCCTACCCTGCTCTTCCCACTGACCTGGTTGCTACTTATGCTAATGGGTAGCTTGGGAGGATGTACAAGATAAGGACAAAAGTCGTACCTTAGCAAGCCCAGCGGTGGAACAAGGCAGTTACAGACTGTGGATCAGCTGCACCCACTGCTACGGCTCCAGCTGGGGCAGGGGTGGGGGTTCTGGGTACAGCCTAGCCCCGAAAGTCCTTGCGCTGCCCAGAGACAGAGAGCAGGCTGGGGGTGAGAAAGGGCAGAAGGACAAACTCAGCAGTGCTACCTCCGCTGCTACGGCCCTTCACATCCAAAACCTCTGGACCGAACCTGCCACTGTGCCCCGGAGCTGTGCGCCTCTTACCCCAGCAGGTGGCATCGCAGCCTGCAGACGTGGCTCAGCCCTGCCCAGAATAGACGGGACAGGCATTGCCACGGATTTCGTTTTTCCCTGCTGAGGGCATGCCTATGGGATCCTTGACAGCCGTGTGTCCATCGGTCAGGGCCTAACAACCTCTGGATGAACGTGCTCATATTGTAAAGCTGGAAGGGACCGGTATTGTCCTGCAGCCTGACCTCCAGCGCAACACGAGCCGGAGGATTTCGCCCTGCACCAAGCCTGGAGCGGCCAGCAGAGCCTGAACCCCATCTGGGTTTTAAAGCTCTTAGATGCTGGAGGATCCACCGCCTCCCAAGTAAAAAAATCACAAGTGCGGAGGCGAGCACAACGCACTTTATTGCTAGTCTGAATTTCTCTCCCTTCCACTTCCAGCACTGGGTCCTGTTCTGCCTTTACCCGCCAGGTGCCAAAGCCCTGAGCTATCCAAATTCCTCTCTTCATGTACCTACTTTGCCAATACCAGTGAGAGGGTGCGCTCTCCTCTCTCAGAATCCCTGATGATGGGTCTCAGAGACACAGCAGGCACAAGCCAGCCCCTGTGGCACTTCACAGCTCATTGCAGAGCCCATCATTATCAGACTACCGGCTTTCCCTGGCTCCAGGATTTTGGATCAAGTCTCCATTTGCAGGCTCACGGCGTGCTGCTTGTTTTGGAATGTCAGGTGGCTGAAGAAAACCCACAGGGTTTCTCTCCTGCCTCCGATGCCTCTAGTTCTGGATTGCACTAGAACAGCCACTTGAAATGCTCAGCGTTGTGCTGCAGGGCTGCCTGCGGGTATACAGACGCCCCGAGAATACAAGGTGAACCAGAGCATCCTCTTTACTGCACTAAAGCTCGGCCTGGAGCCTGTATCATGCACATCCAATGCGTGCCAGTAATTTTTCAAGGTAGAAGCCTGTGTAAATAGGCCACTTGGGCCTTCAAAGGCTGAGCTATGTTCCCCAATACACCTGTACTCTCTGGGAGGTGAGAGGGATGCTAAAGGCATGTTGTTTCTCTGTAGCCAGCTCTACCCGACCCTTCCCCAAACCAAAGGCTCATGCAACCCCTGGTCTTAGCTGCTTATTCAGATTGTCCTGCTTATACCCAATCAAAAACTTTCCAACAGGCCATTTTTATGTTGGGGTTTTACCAACATCTAAACCCGTTACGGGAACGTGTCAGCTCCCAGCGGAAAAAGTCGAATCATCTCGATTTCATTTGGGTAATATTCTGCTTTGACGTTGTTATTTTAATTCCTGTAACTCAGACATGTTGTATTAATATGACTGTTGTTTCGGTCACACCTATATTGTTATGTACTGTTCCAGGCTTGTACGCTCAAACCAAAACACATTGCTGGCCCTGAACTGAAATGATGCAGAAGGTCTCTTTTGTGGGAAATGTCATTGCTTTCTGTTCCTCTTCAGAGCTGGTTTTTCTTTTGCACTCTGGGATTACAAATCTGCAGCCTTGCTAACCCTGAGCTAAAGGGATTCCTCCCAATAGGCAGAAACGGGATGTGGTCCAAAAAGACTTCCCAAGGCAACACTAGGACACATTTACAGGCTATCTGGAGAAATCTCAGAAGGAAACGCCTGCCTAGGGAAATCATTGGGAGTGATCCCACTGCCTGCCATGCCACGTGGGCTGGAATGGGCATGCAGAGACTGACTTCTAGGGCAGTCGGGTACCTTCACATCAGGACTCGAGCCTTCCTATGGACAGCAACTTGCTGGAAAGAGACGGTGCTCTCTCAGTGCATGGGGTAGGGATGCCCTGAGAAGAGAAGCCCCGTGGGGACGCAGACCTGCCTGATGCATGGACAAAATGAGAATCCTCCTTGCAAATCAGGACCGCGCTGAATCTGCGGGAACAGCTGGGGCTGCGTGTTCCCGGGGGCAGAGGGGGAGAAGCACTCACCCGGCTGTGGTCCACACCTCGCGCAGGGTGTCTGACTGCAGGGGCATGGCAGGCTGCTGGCAGGGCTCAAGGACTCAGCAGATGGGCAGACCTGGAGCACAAAGCCACCTTCTTCCAGACGCGAAGCTGAAGCACTCCCTCTTCCTCGGCCAGATTTCCTTCCTTTCTGGCACGGGCTGTTAAGAAGCTCCACAGACGCATACTGTGCACATTTTAAAGGCAGGTCATTGCCAGCTGGAGGGCTGATGGCATCAGCCCCGTCTGACCAGGGATTCCCCACGCTGGCTTGCCCTCTAAGCCCAAGAGGCTCCGCGGCCAATCTCCCAACATTAGCTTTCTTCAGTGAAGTCAAATTAGTCTTTCACATTCATGTTCCACGTTACCCACCAGCCCTGCTGGGACAGGGACCTTGGTGCAGGTGTCTCTCTCGTGCGTGAGAGGAGGAGGAGTGCCTGAGAGCGACAGAGCCAGGGAGACGATTAACTTTTTATTTCTCTGGAAACATCCTAATAGGATTTCAGAGGCTCACAGACTCTCAGCCAGGGCTGCAGAGAGACTCTATAGACTGCAGCGTCTGTCACCTTAATCCAGTAAAACAGAGGAAAAGCAAACTTGATGGATCACGCTGAATAATACTGTGTCTCCAAACAAGCAAGTGAAAAACGAGTGCACATGGTGCCTACAGGATGTGCACGCATGTGTCACGGTGTGCAGGTAAGCCTGTGTATCGGTGTATGCACAGCATACGGGCAGTTTCAATAGCACCTTCCTCGGCTGAGCCCAGGGTAATGCCCCATGTGGTCCATGCAGTGCTGGGAGAAGGAATGGGGGGATGGATGATGAACCATTCACAGTGTGGCCAGATGGAGCAGGGCTGCAACGGAGCAAGGACACAGAGCTGGACCTGGCCCAGTGTCCCAGCTCACTGAGAAGTGGGGTTGCCCTCTCCCCTCTCCTCCATGTGCAGAGCAGCCATTGTCCCCTTTGGCAGACACCTGCTTTGTCTGCAGACCAAGCCCCGTGCACTCGTACAGGTCCTCAGTACCGAGGCTCCACCTGCTAGCACACACCACCCCCATCGCATCTGAGTGGGCCGACTCTGCCTGCACAGATAGGCTCAGAGGCGGCACACAGGAGCGCTATTCTGGGAGCTCCAGAGGCTCCAAGACAAGAGATTACAAATCTACTTAGGAGAGACAAGGTTGACCGAGATGGGCTTCTCAGTCCGCGTGACATGGTGTGCTGGGGTTGCTGTGGAAGGAGCTACCAGGACCGCTGCTGCATCACCTCCTTTTTGAAGTCAGGGATGTCTCTTTAGGAGTAGCCCAGCAGGTAACTATACACCTGTGGGTCTCATAGCCTCTATCAGGAGCTCTCTGAATCATAGAAAGTTAGGGTTGGAAGGGACTTCAGGAGGTCACATCTAGTCCAACTCTCTGCTCAAAGTAGGACCATCCTCAACTAGATCATCCCAGCCAAGACTTTTTCTAGTCAGGTCTTTAAAAGCTCCAAGGATGGAGATTTCACCACCTCTCTGGGTAACCTGTTTCACTGTTTTACTACCCTCCTAGTGAGAAAATTCTTCCTAATATCCAACCTAAACTTCCCTTGGTACAACTTGAGACCATTGCTCCTTGTTCTGTCATCTGCAACAGTCCGGCTCCATCCTGTTTGCAACCCCACTTCAGGTAGCTGAAGGCTGCTATTAAGTCCCCTCTCAGTCTCCTCTTCTCCAAACTAAATAAGTCCAGTTCCCTTGGTTTTTCTTTATTAGTCATGTGCCCCAGGCCCTGAACCATTTTTGTTGACCTCTGCTGGACTCTCCAATTTGTCCACATCCCTTCTGTAAGTCGGAGGGGGGGGGCAAAACTGCACACAGTACTCCAGATGTGGCCTCACCAGTGCTGAATACAAGGGAATAATCACTTCCCTTGACCTGCTGGCACCGCTCCTACCAATGCAGCCCAGGATGCTGTTCACCTTCTTGGCAATAAGGGTACACTGTTGCTCATATTCAGCTTGTCGTCCACTGTCACCCCCAGGTCCTTTTCCACAGAGCTGCTGCCCAGCCATTCACCCTCAGCCTGCGCTGATGCATGGGATTGTTCCGTCCTAAGTGCAGGACTTTGCACTTGTCCTTGTCGAACCTCATGAGATTCCTTGTGGCCCAATCATACAATTTGTCTGGGTCACTCTTAATCTTAGCCCTGCCCTCCAGCATATCTACTACTCCCCACAACTTGAATGCTACGCAGGGTCAAACAGCACAGGCTGGAGTCCAGATTCTCTCTAGTTGATCTCTCTTTGGACATTCAACCCTAACAGCAGCCAGGCTCGCGTGACCTGGTAGCTTAAAATCCACGTGCACAGGGTCTACAGCAATACAAAGTGACACCCTGATCCAAACTGGAGAAGCCTGGAAAGCAGGTGGCAGCCATGCAGTGAGAGTGTCAGGCCAGAGCACCTGTGCAAATAAGCTGAATCAGTGCAAATGAGCTGAATGAGGGTTTTCTCTGCTTGGAGAAAGAGTAGAGCAAGTTCGTTCTTTCTCTTGTAACATCACTAAATGTGTGCCCTGAAGGACAAGCAGAAAGACTGCTAGCTTCAGGCTGGACTATCTAATCAATCTAGGCTCTGCTTGGTGCGGCACTCAACAGCATCTGACGTTCCCTTTTAATCCACTTCATTTGCATATCATGCAGGCAGCCTACACTGGGAGCCGTCCTAGGGACCTTTTCTCCCTGCTGAGGTCTTGATTTCAAATCTGCTTTGACCTAGCTGCAAAGGGCAGATCAGCTGTATTTTTTTTTTTTACTTTTCTCACTGTCATTTGACTGCAACCATTTGCTCTCCAAGCCAGCTGGCACATGTCGTACAGCTGGAGAAGATACAGTTACACAGAAAAGGGATGTCAGGACACTGCAAGGGGGAATCGGGCAGCGTTTCCAAAGGAACAAGCAGTGTTCGGTTGGTATTAAGGGGAATTCAAGTCCTGATCCTGGAAAGCTGCTCCTGGTGCCTGTACAGAGCCTCAATGACGTTAATAATACTCCACCCGTATACTTCCAACCGCATGGTCTGGAGCCACGGTGGTATTTATTGTGACCAGTGGAGGGTTTGCATAACATCCTGCTAATGCAAAACACATCCTGAGAATTGCGACATGAAGAGAGAGGGAACGCTGGAAGCTCCAAGTCCTTTAGCTCAACCTAGGGGCTCCAGGGAAATAAGATTTCACATCCGAGCTCTTAATCTCTTCTGTGTTGCTCCACCGTCACCAGCCCTGAAATATTTGCATTTGCAGGCTGTCTATTGTGTCTCAGTGCTGTTTGGCTGACATCAAGAGTTGGATGAGCCAGAGTTTTCTGTGGCGAGAGTGCACAAGAGCTCGTTTATACATGCTAGGAATCGACTGCTGCTCCTCTTAGCATCAAAACCCTGCCCCTGTTACAGCTGTCGGCAGAGAACAGACGTTTCGGTCCCAGTCAAGGCTAGCTTGTCACGTGCCCATCTGTTGTGAAGTCAGGTTGGCTTCACTCATTTAAGGTACGATTACTACCACATCCTTGATGGATGCTGTCTCTCAAGCTTAACCCAGGCAGGTGCATTTTTCCCCCCCCTACCACCTTCCAGTTTCTTTTAACCAGGGTCCTGGAGTCTGTAGGACAAGTTGGAGCTTAGCCACTTTCTTTCCTTATCCATTGAGCCAGAAAGCCAAAGGCTGCAATGGACTGATGGACACGTTTTCTGGTCTCAGTCCTGCCTCAAAGGGGACAGTAAGTCTGCTCAGGCCTGGAGCTGTAGGAGGAGGTTGAACTATGCCTTTGCTCTTTTGCATTATGTAACCACCTAGGTGCAGACAGAGACTTAAAGCAGAAGGTGTAGCACCCAGGAGGGCGATTGGCTGCTCCGGCAGTGACAGTGTATTAATGAAACACCAGCGTGACAGTGAAGTTAGTGAAACAAAGTGCTGAGACCACGCAGAGCAAAAGACACCTCCTGCTCTGCTGGAGTAGAGCCGTCCAAGGATGCACATATTGAAGAAAGGCCTGCATCCCCATCTCTGATCCATCCCCAGCAGAGCTGAGCACTCCTGCACCTTAGGGAAACACAACTCGGGTGCATCTTCAACACAGCCTGTGCTGCCCGGCCTCATCTCCTCACCAGCTACAGCCTGTGCCACTAGGTGGCATTTGAATATCATTTATCCATTTGGATCACAGGAGGAAAAACCCCCTGTTAGTAGCAAACAAGAAAGGCAGCCTGTGGATGAGGTGTCAGAATGAGGGAGGCCTGGTGCATAAACCCGTTCCCTCTCTCTGAAACATCCTTTGCAAAAAGCAATTCCTCTCCGGGCTCTTTGACCACACCGAGGTATTATCCTTACCAAGCAAGTCCCTCAAAACCGCACCCATACATTTCGGGAGCTGCAGGTGAGCACTTTCAGACAGAGCTGGACAAAGCTTCTTTGGCGAACGGTTTATTCAGTGACAAATGCAGATTCAGGTCACGCCGAGCTGCTCCCTCAGTGCTGCCCCAGCAAACGTAGAGTTTCAGCCCATAAAAGATGACAAAATGAAAAAGATACTTTTCAGAGGGCAAAAAAAAAAAAGAGATGTTTCAATTTCAATGCTCTCAAAATGAAACATTGCCCACTTTCAATTTGAAACAATGCTGCAGACTTTGTCCGAGTTGCACTTTTTTCCCCTTAAGGGAAAATACCTGAAGAAGAAAGAAACTGCGTTGGCTCAAGTGAAATGATTCCTTTGCCCCAAACAAGGTGGGTTTTGTTCTTTCGTTTCACACAGATAATGGAAACACTGGGGGTTCGGGTCACCCAAACGCAGTCTTTTCTTTCGTTTTTTTAGTTCAATCCGTGAATCAAGCCTGGAAGCCCTCCTACAAACCCATTCACCAGTTATTTGCATGGCTCCATGTTCAAGCCTTCTTTCATACGAACCCCGTTCACTGCAACAGCCTCTTATTGCCCGTCAGACTCTTTCCTCTGCACTTCCCACCCCAGGAGTCTTCCTGCCTTTCGTCTGCCCGCTCCACAGTTCTCTGCTCCGGCAAGGCAAGCTCTGGACTGCTCTGCCCTATCCATCAAACCCATTCAGGCTCTATTCAGCTGAAGCATTCAATGGAATTTTATGAGAAAAAGCCCCAATCAGATTGCTTTTCTTCTTCCATAGGTGTCTGCCAATATAGATGAGCATTGCAGGAAAGATAAACCAAGTGACGCTGTTTTCTAAGTTATCCCAGAGGCAACTGCTACGCGTGGCACTAGGTGTTGTGCCCTGCTGGCATTACCGCATTGGGGTTGTGAGGACAGAGCAAAGACCTGAAGAACCTGGAATATAGTTCTTTGCACAAATATAAGGGGGACATGTCTTCAGACCTCACCTGCAGTCACGGGTACCTACAATCCACCTCTAGTCTTCAACGTTCATTTGAAACTCCAATTTGCATTTGAGGGGTTCCCGTGTTAGATCACAGGTTCCACCCCAAAGGCAGCTGCACTTTGACCACGTGTAAAATGCACACCTCTTTCACCCTACTTCAGTCCTTTTCCGTTGCATTAGTTCACTCCAGTAGAAGTTACTCATAGAACAGCCAACAGATCTTAGCTCCCCATATAGCCCTTGTAGGATGAACAGTTAAACTGAGAATCATGCTTGAGTTGCAGGAGAGCAAACAGCAGCAAACGTTGCTAAATATGAGAAAACTAGCCCTACGTTTACAGTTTCTTGTGGGCTCAGCTTCACTTCTGATCACATCTTTATAACAATTAAATATGGACCTCCGAGAGGCTGTTTGCAACAGAAGCTGACACAAGGAGGCCAACTGATACAAGGAGTGTTGGTATAATTTAGCAATAAATTCTATTAAGAGAACTTAATCTTACATGGATAGACAACCCCCTCCCCACAAACCTATAGTTCACATGCCAGAGTCAAATACATCCATCATCAATGATAATCCAAGAGTAGGAAGCTCACCTAAATAGCTAGAGCCTGGGACTTGGAAACAGGGGCTTGATGTGTTCATCCCAGCTCTTTGCCAATTCATTGCATGCATATGAACCCAGGCAATTCCCTCAGCCTCTCTCCATTTCCCTGGCCCTGTCGATAGAGAAGAGGGGGGGCAAATAAATCTGCCTGCTATTCCTACAAGGCTTACTTACTGTTCTGTGAAGGGCCTAGAAACATGCAGAGGGAAGGCTCTATTCAGGTGAAGCATGTCTTGTGCTTTATATGAGAAACCCCCCCCAACAAGACTGCTTATTTCACCTTCTCCAATCCAGCCAATTTGATGTCGACAAGCAAATGCTGGGAGGCGGTCAGTCATCCAACTATTTTAGGAGTCTGCCAGATCTAAACTAACCTGGGATGAGCTCAGTTGCCGTCAATACTTTGGTGGAAGTTACCATGCAGATAGTGCTAGTAGTGCCCTCTCCTTCCAGTCTGTACTGAAGCAATATGCTTGGGGTATATGCCAGAGGTCACATCTTTTGAACAAGCTATAAAACTTATCTTAAGTTATAAGACTTATCCACAGGCCCCCGACACACCTGTAATCATTCAAGATCAGGCAGGATCCACGACACACCTGTAATCATTCAAGACCATGCAGTATTTTCCATGCAAAACAGTATATGATTGCAGGGTCTCTTTGAATGCCATTTCTGCATTGATATGATGGCCCCTGAGTTTTCCTCTACAGCTTAACGTCAGCACACTTCCTCTCCTGCACAGTTGCATGGTTTTGCCACACATGGTTGAATAGCTGTGGTGCTGTTCTGGGCTCTGCTTCAAAGACAGATGGCACTTCAGCCATCCGGCCCCTTTAATGTAAAGCAGCTGCCTCTTGACAGGCCCAGCAAGCCACTGCAGCCATGCGAGCTATGAAGGGAGCACCCCCATTGCAGTTCTATAGAGACACATTGTCATTATGTGCAGGGGGTTTTGCTGGGACAGCGGCACTCGCACTTTCTACTCTTGCAAAAGGGAGTCTAATTGGCAACAGTCATTTAAGCCAAGACACTACCATTGCAAAGGTAGCATCTCTCAGTAGGGCATCCCTAAGAGTACTGATTGAGGAATAATCAGTAGTACTTCCCAAAGCATTGAGCCATTTGAGTACAGACTAAGCAACTGAGCTCGTGACAACTGACAGGACTGCAGTCTTCAATGTTACAGTTCACAGAAGCTTACAAAACGGTGTACCAGATCCTAGCTGCTTGAGTATGGAGAAAACACCACCTTCACGGGCCTGGGTGCTAAGGTGGCACCCAGGAGCTCTGGACAGACCGAGACATACTCCTCTGAACAGCATGCAGCCTTGATTCTTGTGAAGGAGGGAAAGACAGGAGAAAGAAATATTTGATCTTGCTTTTAAAGCAGCAGCCTGGGTCATATATTGCAAGCATGAATGCAGTTTGCATTAGTGCGAGCTGTAGTAATGGTACAATAAAGGCAGGTATCCCAGGGCCTGTGCTGATTACTGAGGGATGGGCAGAAATGTCTGCCCTCAGATGCTTTCTGCTTATTGCATCCAGTCCTCTGCAAGCCAGGGCTCGGTCCTCCCCTGGTTCACAGGAGAATCCTTTGTTTCAAGATCACTTCCTAGCCCCATTCAGTTGTCATCCACGGGCTCGTTCCTTAGCAACCCCTCCACCTCCATAGTGACATTCATGACAGAGCCACAATTCACCTGCAGAGGCACTGACGGCATAAACCCCCACTGCACAGCAAGGGACTGCTTTAGAGATTTCCTCCTGATGGGCAGATGTCTGGTTTTTCAGGTGTGGCCCATCTTCCTCCTTTGCTCACCTGAGAGCACCTTTGTAGTGCCTGCGGATCATGTGCCAGGCAGCAGTGATCCTGGGCTCCTCTACTAGTCCTGTACCAAGCAGACTATCCATACAAGCAGGAGGAACTGTGATTTTACAGGACAGAGGTAATATGCACCACCTCAGCCTCGCTGAAGAGACAGCAACAATGCTATGTGCACCAACGTATGCAGATGCAGGACTGCTTCATAGATTGTAAGGCCGGAAGGGACCTCCAAAGATCATCGGGTGCAGGCAGGAAAGCCAACTGGGGTCCGGTGACGCGAGCCAGGTGACACACAATCAAACACAAACCTAAGGGTAGAGGGCATGCTTCTAAGGGCCGGGCTAACCCCCTGCATGGTGTTTTTACTCGTGTTGTTTATGCAATGTATAACTCTTTGGATCCCAGACCGCTCACGAGAGACCCAAGGATCAGCAGCCACTCAGTCGTTGCCAATGGTGGTGCAGCAGGGCAAGCAAGAGAAGCAGAAGCAGAGGCTGAAGCGAGGGTGACAAAAAGCCGAGCAGCCTCACCCCACGTGGGAGAGCTGCAGATGAGCTGGAGAGACTGGGATCTGGCAGAGGAGCTGTGGACTGCGGGGAGGACACTGACTGCAACAAAGAGATGAAAAGCTGCCAAAAACGGTTTCAAGTCCTGACACACCCAATAGCCTAACAGCTCTCCTGAGCTGGACGGGACCTTTGAAGGCAACCGCAACAGGCACGGCTGAGAGCCCTGCCAGGGATGAGGAAAGCCCTGAAGACAGTGTTCCCACAAACCATGTCCCCTCCCTGCCACGAGACATGCAACAGCAGCAAGGCAGATGGGCTCATCGGCAGCCTTGTCCTCCCCCCGAGGGTCAGGACACAAGGCAGAGCTCCTTCGCAGAATACCTTTCACCATGGCTGAGATTCGATGAGCCTCTGTGTCTGCACAATAGGCCAGCGTACGTCATCACCGAAAACATTTCCTGTACTCAGCCAGGGCTGGAGAACAACAGGACTAGTTAGCAGCGTTTGCCTGGCACTTTATTTTGATAGCTAATTAAGAAAAGCCATGCTTGCTCCAAATCCTGTAATTTTGGCTTTACAAAATAAAGACTTGGGGGTGGGGAGGGGGAGGGGGGAGGAATGTACTTGGCTTTGTGTTGGTTTACATCCATATCATGGTGTAAACAGAGGAACAGATATGCTTTTGACCAGACTCCCAGGATCTGAATCAAGAGTATCTGCATCCTGGTAATCACATGGCAGACAAATGCTTCCACTGTTGCAGAGATCCAGATGTACTTACTGTTTCACTCAAAGCTACTTCAGTTTTCAAAACAAGGAAGCTGGACCATCACTTATGGCTGGGTGTTTGCATTTTTTCCCCCAAATACGCAGCCTCTGGCACCACGGAGGCCCCAGGTGACAATTTGCCTGCTGGGAAAGTCTGGAGCAGGTAAAAAAACAGATGGGTTTGGAAAATAACCGTCACTGCAGGGAGCGTTCGACTGGAGAGAGAAGGAACGTTAAATGAATCGGCAGTGTTTGTTCTCTCCTTTCAAGACAATGATGTCTGGACTCGTGCAGCATTTACAGGTGGGGTAGGAAAAATTCATCCCATCCTGTTCCCTGCTGCCTTTAACGTCAGCAGTTGGGAAATTGGGATGAATCAGCCTGTAACAGGATTGTTTGGTAGCACTTCACAAGTCTCCCTGTGCTGGTGGGGCGGTCATGTGGCGGGAGCTCCTACACCCATCGTAGATGCAATCAGAGAACAGCGTTTGCTTTCTCCACCAAGGGCATCTCCGGAAGAAAATCCCTCTCAAAGCGTTGCTTCTCCCATCTAGTACTCACCGTTTCAGCTACACTCAAACCTGAGGATTGACTGGGAAGGTGGCCTCGGTAACGGTGGGGGATAGGATTCAGAACTTCAACTCCTGCCCTTGAACATTTCCAGTGGCATTCAGGAAGCAAAAAGGCAACATGTGAGGGCACCAAAGCAGTCCCACCTGGTGAGGAGGCCAAGTTGGAAGCACCATTTCCTGGATAATGCACGTGCATGTGTCACAGCTATCTGGTAACGAGCCTGCTGCTAGATGCCAGGGCATCAGAAGCAAGAGGGGATCCTACTAAAGAACAACTCTGATTACCTTCTTCTCTAGCATAATACATTTGACCAGCTGCGTATTCAGGAGGGGAGGGATGGCTTCAGGCGGGTGCACTGAGAAGCAACCTCAAGCTGCAGAACTTCTGAAGAACCCCTGCTTTCAAGGCATTGTCTGCTAGCCTGGAGTGGCATGGAGCGGGTTACAATCTAGGTCTTCTCTATCTTAGCCTAGTCTGTGTCTCTCAGATAGTCGTCCATGGTAGCCGTAGCTGAAGTTAGGCAAGATCACTCTGTAGCCTTCTGTGCCGAGCGTGGCAGTGGGCCGGCTTTGAGGAAGTGTCCTGTTTCTCATCCCTCAGTAAACCACATGAAGGTAACAAGCAGACCAGTGCAGGGATAGCAGGCCATGGAAGAGGAGCAGTTTCCTATTCTAGGATATACAGCAAAATGCACATGAGGCGGAGAGAAAGGGATGGTAAATCAGAGCACCTCAAGGACTCCCAACTACCAGGTGCAACCTAACCCTTGGGACTGTGCAAAGTGAGTTTTATTCCAGTTTTTAGCACCTGCACCACAAGTCACCACTGGTCTCATCCAAGATTTGGGGGAGAATGGGCCTTCTACACATCTGGAGGGAGCTGCTGGGCACACCCTTGCTGAAGGTATCAGCTACCCTTGCTGCATCTGCTCTAGATAGAGACATTTCAGTCTACACCAGACACTTACCTGTAGCTGACAACAGCTGCAGCCGGACTCAGTTTAGCTGCAAGTGTGGACAAGGACTAATGTTCAGCAACATTTCAGGCTGATTTCTGAAATGATGCTGAACCCGGTTTATCCCTCCCTCCCTGAAGCCAACAGCTGTCTGCAAGAAACTGTTTTCCCCGTACACCCAAAGCTCAAGACTCCCAGCCCGGCCTTTTGCATGAGCATTAAGGAGCTTGTGCACAACTCTCATCCTCCTCTCAAACACATGCTCATTGGACAGAGTTGGTGTTTTTGAACCTATTAAACACCCTTGCTCAGTGCCAAAGGCGGCTTTCCAAGTAAAACTACATATGCTTATCCCTGGAATCAAACCTCACTAGTTAACAAATGCAGGCAAACTAAGATGATCAAAATGAAAATATGATGATACAAAGTCCAATGAGTCTGACTAACACATACAAGATTTATAATGTTCACCTCAAAAGCTACCTTGAACCTATTCCTGTGCAGAGCTCTTGCAGTTTCAGGCCATGACTGCGAGAGAGAAAACATTATTCCCTGTTTAGATATCCCTTCAAGGCTTAAGTGAAATGAGGACAGATTTAAACCTTTTGTGGTTTATACAGCTTGAGGTTAAGGTCTTCACATTATATAAGTGTGCTACTTTGTGGCTTCAGGCAGTTTACTTAGTTGGGATGGATCTTCTAGCATATCATTAGGGAGCATTGTTAGTTCAGGATAAAAACTGAGTCCACTTTCAACTCTGTACAATTGTGTTTTAAATTCTAAATACATTTAGCCATTTCAATCCATTACCAGAAAGTATGTGTTTTTTGAAAACTGCCCTGTATTTTGGTCTGATCACACCAAAATACAACAAAATATTCCCAAGTCTCCATAATACTCTGGTAAAACAAATGTTCTGCCCACAGGAACACTCTTGCTAATAAAAGTGAATGAGATTTTTGCAAGATGTGCAATAAGAGCATCAACCCTGTGCTTTTCTGCACCAACCAATTTCTTAATGAGTGCACCAGTCACCAGCATTAAATGTATTTTCAGGTTGTTCCACCATCAGCCGCACACGTTCGAAACGCCACCTCGTCAGGTCAAAAGAAAGAAGCAGAGAGAGCAGGCCAGTTTGGTTTTTGCAGGATTAAGGTGGAAAGAGCAAAATAAAATACTGTCTTTGTTAATTGGGAAGCAAAGCTGATAGAAAAAGATTTATTTTCAAGCTTCAAAAGGGGTATTACAAACCATGGAGGAGTAAAAAGAATTTAAAAGCTGTTTTTAAAAAGGTCATGACAATGTCCCTTTAGGGTTGAAGCAATGATGTAGTAGGCTTCACTCAAAATGCTGTATGCTGAGACTGTATTCCCGATCATTCCCAATGTATTTCTGTGCTTTGTAGGTTAATACAGAAACACAGCTCCCACCGTAGTGGCCTGAGTGGGTGCTGGATAGAAGATACATAAATTGGCAAGCTACGAATCATGGTACTATATATGTGCAGTAAGAGGCCTAACCACAATAGTTCATCTGCTTTCTTTTCTTTTCTTTTCTTTTCTTCTCTTTTTTTTTTTTTGCATAGACCCCCTAATAAGCTGTTCAACTCCATTTTTTAAATTAAACAGGTTGTGGGCTGTGGGCTGAAATGATAAGTGCCTGGAAAGAGCAGCTTCTGAAAACAGTCCTTTGCACTGAACAAAAACAAAAACGCGGTACAACTTTTTAAAATGGAAAGAGCCTCCCCGAAATGAAACACCCTTTTAAAGCCAAATTATAATTTCCTGAGAGAGACAGAGAGAGAGAGAGAGAGAGAGAGAGAGAGAGAGAGGAGATATAACAGAAGTGATGCAAAACGTAACAGCAGCAGCAGTATTAAAAAAACCCAACATTTTAACAATTTCCTAAAAGGAAATGGGAAAGTCGCAATGAAATGCAGTACTTTTTAATTCCAACAACCATCTTAACATTATAAACACCTCTGGAAGCAGATCCAAGAAGCCTTCAAGAGGTAAAACCAACCCAAAAAAAGCCCAGTCTTGCAGAACATTACCAGTAAGCATTCACTTATTACACGATCTAGACTGTTCAGCTCCCAGAGAAGCTAGGCTGTGCTACAGAAAACCATTTAAAGTTTGCACTGGAGTGAAAGAGAAGGAAGAAGTTATGTGAGAAATCACCTCTCTGCTTCTGGCTTTAGAGTCCATAACACTGCTGTTCACTGAAACCATGGCACACTGCTTTGCACTTTGTTCTAGTACAGTGCTATACCTTGAGCCGGTAGCACTTTAGTCAAATTTTTTTTTTTAAACTAGGCCTGCGTGGTCCTACTACAGTACAACCAAATGCAATACTGAATTGTACAACCGACAGCTCCTACATTCTAACTCATTTAAGAGGACCCTGGACATCGTGTGGCAAGTTGATGTGAACTGAAATGAGCTGGATCGAGCCATCTCAGGAAACTTTCCTAGAGCCAAGAGTCTGATTTTTTTTTTCCTTTTTAAAAGCTATTTGTTCCACTCAGAGTGGTCCCACACTGTCCCTCTTCTTGTGCTCCACTGCTGAGCATGCTCACAGCAGCAGGGCTGGTTTTGTTGGACTTTGCGAGGCATTTTGCTTCCACGATCACACAAACTGTAACAAGCTTTACAATAAAACATTGGCGAGTCCTGAGTTCTGCAGAAACCTGTTTCGGTGCAGGCTGAGTTCAGGAGGGTCTCCTTCCCACCTTCTTTTCCCATCATACATGCCCTTCAGCCTCTTTGCCTTCAGTCACTGGAGTTTTTAGCCTCTTTTCAGAAGTTGCTTTCTCCACGTCTTTCTCTCCTGGATTTCTGCTAGCTTCCTCCTGTACGACAGCAAATAAACCACAGTCAGTTAGTTGAGATACAAGCAGAAAAATCAAGTCACAGTGAATCCGAGGGTTCCCTGAGCCTCAGTATTAACAAATACTGCAAATTCAACATAAAAATCCTCTCTCCTAGAGTAAGTTTTTCCTGTAAGATGTAGTAGTAGTTGGCTGCAATGCTCAGGGCAGTCATAAAGCCCACTCACACTGCAAACTTCTGCTTTCTTGGCTCTGAGCATTAGTGAAGATTACACTCGCTCCATTCCTCTTGGCTAAGGAAGCCTAGGTGAATAAGAGGGCTCTGTTAGCACCTCCTCCACTATTTCATGAAAAGGTAGAACCTGGACTCTACGCTCTCCCTGATGGACATTTGGTACCATCACAAAAAAAGTGTTATTGAAATGGCTGTGTGGGGGCACAGACGGTTAAAAACCCCTTGGAGCTGTTGCCCGTACTCACATACCTCAACCCAATCCTAAAGAAGCAGAAGAACCCTATTCCTCCATGAGCAGCTCAGCTGGCTAAAGCAACTTCATCTTTGCATCTCAAACAATAGGCTCAACTAGTCTTTGATCCTTAGCTCTGCTGGATGTTGCAACATATTTAAGAACAGATTTATTTCCAGGTGCTAGCTGTGTCGCTATACTATAAAGGAGATGCACAACCTGGTTTCTTGGCTTCTGTATTCTCTCTTGCTTGAGTACTGTCTGCACTAGATGCTTGCTTAGGTGAATTCATAGCCTGTTGTTTGAAGAATGTAACATCTCTACTACTGTTAAAAGGGAATGGTATCTTCTGTTGCAAGGCATGTGCTGACCATCAAGGAGGTTCCTACTATGAATTTCCATCAAACATCTCAAGCCCACCCAGGGGACTGAATGCCATCACAGACCCACCCTGGGTCAGCAGCGACAGAAGCGGGCTACAAACAGCTTTTAGCTAGAAAGTATAAAAATTCAATCCTTGTTCCAAACTCATTCCCAGCTGTCATGGGTCCACACTGCAAATAGTCTTAACAACTAAATCTTTGTGGTAGTAGTCTTAAAGCAAAGAAATCCAACAATGAATGAGCCATGAAAAATACCAGGCTTCTACAGAGTTTGTCCCTCCAGGAAAAAGCTGTGCTTTCATTAGTCAACTATGCCTTCATGAACAACTTCTTGTCTAGGTAGAGACACTCAGTCTGCAGGGCTATTAAGTCTGAAGCCTTTCACCATACTCAAGACTACTGAGAACCCTTCAACTGGAGTCTGCTAGAAGGTCACAATGGATGTGCTCCAAGTGCCAACGTAATACCAACCTTTGCATCTCTCTCTGCAAACTTCTTGAACATGTTGGCATATATTCTTCGGTCACGCTCATTGTGTTCCTTTGTCTTCTTTTGACAGACCGTGATCTGCGACTTGGCAGCCTTGTTTTGCGGGTTCACTTCCAGTACTCTTTGAAAGTCGCATTTTGCCAGTTCAAATTCGTTCATTAGTAGTCTGGCTTCACCTCTCCTGTACAAACCCTTCTCGTTGTCCTGATCCAGTCCTAATGCCTGCAAACACAGGTTCCCACATTAGCAAAGCTTTGAGAGCATCCCTCAGTCAGCAGCCCGAGGTATTCCTGTTCATACAGGTAAGGACTGTGCTGTAGGGAATGACTTACATAAATGTGCCCCAGCCACCATTTATACCAGATCTCCGTGGCAGTGTGCAATGGTTTTGCAGACAATGGTATGCCATTGGAAGGCCACACAAAAGAATTACAATACCAGTCTGTTCGGCTCTGAAACAACAAAAGCTCAGCTCCATGCTATTCTTTGGGAAGATGGAGCAATCAGCTTTGCTCTCACTGTTTCACTCCACTTGACCTCATTAGAGTCAATTCCCTTTTATACCTCATGTAATTAAGATCATAATAAAGGGACAAATATTTCCACCATAACCCAAAGCCTGACTCTCCCCCGCACAAAACTGGACTTTTCTGAAAAAGAGCCCCATAACACTGAGGTCATACAGCCAATTAGCAGCTCCTTGTGCTGGTCCTGTACAATGCTAAAGGCTCTGTTAATATCTCTCCTTCAGAAGAGCTGTGAGTTTTAAAGCCCCGTCAAGTATGATGAAACTGGGACAAAAGGAGAGGCTTGAAATCTCTAGAGTGTTCTTAGCTTGCCCTACAAAATGTTACTGGCCTCTAAGCCTGGTTGGCAAGTCATATAATGTACTTTAGATGCTGAAATATTTATGTGTGCACACACACAAACCACTGAAAGTAATAGGCAGAGACAAGCCCACAAATGCAAAACTTAGTCAAGTACTTAGCCTCCAAACCCAGGAGCGTGTAACGTTAACAGAACCCAGGTAGCCAAAGAGTTGCATCCTTAGCGGCATGTCTGTCTCCCTGCTTTCTCACAGTCTTCTTGAGGTAGGTGCACTAAGCTTGCTTTTTAAAAGTTACCTCTTGTTGACTTGGATTTACGTATTCCTGGTAGAATTGTCTAATTATAGCAAGACTTTTGTCTGTATGTCTGGAAATTATTACATACAAGATATGCAAAGCTTTAAACTTCTTTGTTTTATTGTTCCAGTTACAAAGACTAGCTTATACCATAGATCAAGCCTGAAAGGCTCTTGATACTAAAGCCTAACAGTTTTTTAACTTGCAGAAACACAAAATAAGCTTTCCACATTCTGGCTTCTGGGTTACATCATCTTCAACCTGATTTTTTCTGTTACATTTATGCCTTCGGTGCTGCCTACATACCCGATTTGCTTATACATCCGCAGACACTGCAATAAGAGGCGAAGAACGTTGCCGACAGACAGAGGCCAGTACCTATAGCCAGATCCAGGTTGAAACAGAGCAGGCAAACTCTTGCACTTGTGCTGACACTCCCTGAAGTCTTTGTGGGGGATTTGGTGGGACGGGAAGGTGGGGAAGTCTAGCCACATGGATCTAGCTGCAGGATCTGACTCTGGAAGTCAGAGCCTGTATATATGCAGTATATAGCTTTGTATATACAGAGTGTGTCTACACGAGACTCTTTACTGCACAGCAGACTAATCTACTGCGCAGTAAAGTGTCATAATCTACAAGTGCATACAATTTACTACACAGTAAATTAGTCTACTGCACAGTAGACAGTAAATACAGGTAGTAAAACTAACTGCACGGTAGATACCGTGCAGTAGCACATGTATAGACACTGACTGGGAGCAAATTTGCTCCAACATCAGGGGGCCACAGGGAATGGGGAACTCCCTTGGTCCTGGTGCTGCTCAGCTCTTGGCTCCCCCCTGGAGCCAAGACCCGAACAGTGCCAGGACGGGGTAGCTCTCTGCCACCCCCCCAGTCCTGGCACTGCTCAGCTCCTAGCTCCTCCCAGGAGCTCAGCAAAGCCAGGACGGGTTAGCTTTCTGCTTCCCCGCCCAGCCAGGGGCTGGCTGGCAGCTGTCCTGCTTTTGGGGCAGCTCCCGGCCAACCCTGGGCTGCTCGGGGATTTCCCTGCCCAGCTACAGGCATGCACGGAGCTGCCCTAAAACGGGACAGTTCCCAGCCAGCCCCCAGCTTCATGGGGAAGCCCCGCTGGGAATGGGGCTTGTCCTTATATGCACGGGGCTGGGAGAGCTCTGCAGAAGCAGCTGTCTCCCAGCCCCATGCACATCAGGACCTCACATCAGGGAGCAGAACAAGGTAGGAGCAGCCCTGGACCATGCTGCTCCCACTGGGAGAAGATCTGCTCCCAACAGGGAGCCCGTGTAGATGTGCTCCCAGGGAAGGCTTATTGCGCCGTATTTTACTGTGCAGTAAGCATTCAAAGCACATGTAAACATGCCGACAGAGTACTACCTCTGGCTCCAAATTTCAGCTAGGCACATCTTAAGAGCTGAATTCTGAACATGTTGAAGAGACTTTAAATTCTGCAACCGTTAACAACCCTGGACCCTATAAAATCTTTACAAAAGGAGAGAGAACAAACACGGAGATAAAAAGCTTCTACTGTGCAGGCACCATGACAAAAGTAGGTTATACAATCTATGCATTCTGCAGTGCAGAAGGGCATACAATACGACACAGCCAGGCAAAGTCGCACAAAAACTCTGCTAGCATTTTGCATGTTTTGACAGTGTTTCATTTTCACCACTGGAACCACGAAGTGCCACACTTAGCAAGGAAAATTTGTCTGGATCTACACAGTGCTCTTCCAAATTCTGGGTGTTTTGATCTAAAGAGGCTGTTTGCTGTGCACACTGTATTGAAGAGCAGAATACCGTAAATATTTCCTGCTACTCTCAGCTTTTGCTGTTAACAAGTGCATACCATTTACTATGCAGTAAATTAGTCTACTGCACAGTTAGCTACTACTTGTAAATACAGGCACCTGTCAATCTGGTAGTACAACTAACTGTACATGTATAGACACTGACGGGGAGCAAACTTGCACAGTGCTCTTCCAAATTCTGGGTGTTTTGATCCAAAGAGCCCGACTGCTGTGCACACAGTATTGAAGAGCAGAATACCGTAAATATTTCCTGCTCCTCTCAGCTTTTGCTGCCAAATGATTAGCAACAGAATATCACATCAAGGACAGAGCACCTGCTAGAATGAATATATTTCATCACGGTGCTGTGATTTTGAAGTATACTAGCTAACTTAAAATATTACTAATATTGTAGGTGCAGAGGATGTCTACGTGGGTTTTCTTTATCTTCCTGAATAATCTCTTTAACCTAGATACACCATTTTGTATATTATAAATACCAAGCAGACATGGCACAGTTATTATTTCGGGAGAGGTTTTTAATAAAACACCATGGCTGAAGAATCAGCTTCTGAACACGTAGGAAGCCAAAAGGATTCTTGAGTTCACATTTTAATTGAACAAATTCTTGTCGGATGCTGCTTTTAATTTTGTTTGAAATATAAAATATCCAGGACCATCCCACTATTCTCTGAAAAGCTATGCAGTGTGTTACTACTCTGCAAAAGATAAACACATTCAAAGAGAGTTTAGATTCAGTTCTCAAACCACCAAGCACAGGAAATTCAGAGGGGAGACTAAACTTGCAATAAGGTTGTGAAACTGCCTCTGGTATGTACAGAAACTTGATGCAAGGGAGGGGAAAGAGAAGATAAGCCTATTCCAGCCCATGTGTTCAGATGTACAGATGTACTTTACCTTATCACAGCACTCAACAGCTTTGGTATACTCCCGCAGCTTCAGATAGCACATGGCCAGGTTGAGGAAGGCTGCCAGCAAGAAGGATTCAGAAGCTTTAGACTCCCTTTCTGATAAGCCATACTCCATTTCTAACCAGGACACGATCTTCCCATACTGAATCACCGCCTGCATGTACTTGCCATCCTGGGATGAAGCGAAGAAAACCAGGCAAGAGGAATGTTATTTGTCAAATGAAAGCAAATTTGCTTCTGAAACAGTCTTAAAACAGTTTGCAATTGGACAACCTCCAGAGTTTACCATAAAAAATGAGGGAGGTCATTTTAGAGGTGTCAAATCACCCATAGTGCCAGTGGATCTTAACTGGAGCTGCAAGTGCTGAGCATGTCTGGTGGTGGGGTTGGGGGAGTCAGGCTCTTTTTATTCCCTACTTGCATCGGTGCCAGGAGTGCTAGACACCTTGGCAGCCAAACACCCCAGGGTCTGCAGGTGGAATTAAGCTCAACACAAAGTGAGAGGCAACGATTCCCTTTGAAATCCCACCTGTCTCTTTTCTGGGTCCCAAGGCAACACTCCCCTTGAAGCAAGGAGGGTAGTAGGATGGTTTCAAGTCAAATCCAGCATGGCAGAATAGCCACTATATGAATCAGATGCATATTATGCACTTTCACTGATGGACCTGCAAAACCAGGGTGCAACAACTATCCATGGCTCAACAGCATCACCACTGAAGGGAAGACTGCAGGAACAGATTACAAGGCAGTCGAAGGAGACTGACCACTAGACATCAAAATTGGTTCAGAAACAAACAGCTTCAAATGTGAAACTGTGAGGCAAGAAATGCCCTGGCGTGTCCATCCTTTTGTTAACTTCATTAAAACTCTGTCAAACCAATAAACCACATTTAAAATGACCCTTTGTTGGGAAGGGCGGCATATCAATCAAACCACCAGCGCACCTTATCTGTAACAAGTTATTTCTAGTATACAGGATAAAGTCTGCAGACTAAAACCTCTTTTCACCACCCACTGTCTCCTCAACAAAGTAATCAGAGTCTGTAAGGTTAGATATATTTTGAAATGAAGCCACTACCCTGGTATTGAAGTAATTTAACTTAAAAAACATACCGCACGTCTCTCTCCCCCCCTCTCTCAATAAAGCCGTTAATTATGTGGAACTACAGAACTGCTATATCAGCCCAGCCCAGAGCCCCTTCTCTGACGGTCTCCAGCAGATACGTCAAAGGAAGGAGCAAGAAACCTCAAAACAGACAATTTGCTTTAACTGGCCTACAGGGGAAGGTTTGGGGGTTTTTTTATCAATATCCTTCAGTGTTGGTTTTGTACACTGAAACAGGAAGGTTTATAATCCTTACTATTTTTATCCAGTGCATGTATAACTGTGGATGTTTCACTGCCCACATTAATGTTTAATCCCATTTTCGATCTTGCTAAATTCTTGGCCTTCAGATCTTTTGGCAAACAAATCCATAGATTAAATAGACACCGCGTGAAGGAGGCGTTAGATGTAAGAACTTTAGTAGACATAAGGCTCCATATAATGCCCCAAAAGACAGGCGGTGCTAAATGAAGTGACCTCTTCCCAGGAGTACCTCCTTATTCCTAGTTCAGCCTACCAGATAAGGACAGTCCACTGCCAGATGCTCCTCTGGATCAGTCCAAGCAGGGAAAGCCAAGTTTGTACCAAAGCCTGGTAGCTACTTGTAGAGAAGGAACAAGAGCAGGGCAATATTTTTGTTGCCTGAAGCTAAAACTGTTGGGGATCACGTAAACGATGCAACATTTATGCCTGTCCAGGAATATTTTAAGTTGTTTCTCTGAAGAGTCCATAAGCAATTTAAAAAAAAAAAGGTGTGCCTGCAGGCATGGTTCAGTTCTTGGCAACTCATTTATGCTGCAGTTTTACAAACCTTGAAATACACTGTCCCTTTCTCTTTGACAATGGCAGCTTGCTCGAGTTTCTCTTTGGTGTCCATCTCCCAGGACTCTTTGGCCTAAGTACAAACATTTTTAAGCAACTGTTAGAAGACAGGATAGGAAACAATATCAGCTGGAGTTCATGATGTCTTACAGTGCCCCTCATCCCAAAAACAAATATCAACATTTACAGATTCCCAGATTTCTAAACATACCAGCTTCAAGGCTTAATGCTTCAGCCCATTCTCTGCCATTCCCATGCTTGCTATTCCATTATCCAAAGGAATCTGTCCTCCAGTGTCACTAGAAAGTGGCTTTCTTTTCTTAGGAGAAGCAGCAGGAGAGGACAGAAGAGCAAGAAAGGGGCTTTAAGCTAAATAAATATACCTAGCAGCTGCAGCTGCTGCTGGGAATTAAAAAAAAAGGGAATAAACCCAGAAAATGAATGATGCTGGAACCTGTAACACCTGGCTGGGGTCATCACACCTGGCTGGGGTCATCTGACCCCAGCAATCTTTCCTGCCCAGGGCAGGGGGTTGAACTCAGTGATCTAATAGGTCCCTTTCAACCCTAAAAATCTATTAAATCTATTAAATCTTTTAGGTCTGGCACACAGACCTGTATAGCTCTCTACGGTACTGCCTTGACTGGCTGAGCTTATCAGTGTTGAGTGTTGCAAAGCATCACTCTGCATCCAGAATTAAGTCAGAGGACAACTGGTTACCTAGGCCGGTCCATGCTAACTAAGCCCGCATGCTCAAAACCCCGCTGAAAAACAAGCACCAGGAAGCAGAGTTGTGGCACGGATGCGACTCCACAGGGAACAGGGAGAGGGCTGGGCCCACGACCTCCCCCCACATCTGCAGGGAGGATACGATTCTGCTGTCACCAAAGTTAAGAGAAAGGGGACGGGAGCAAGTCACAGGGGTAAGCTACATAGACAAGTTATAGTGAGGGAAGCTAGGGTGTGAACTTACAGGCAGATGACAGAAAGGTACAGTCATCTACCTTGGCGGTCTTCAAAAATCATCTCGACACCCATCAGTTGATCCCATCAGTCTTTCCTGCCCAGGTGCAGAGGGGCTGGACCTGATGATCTCTAAGGTCCCTTACAGCCCCTAACAACTATGAAACTATGAATGAGCAAGGGTCTCAAGTTGCAGCAAGGGAAGTTTAGGTTGGATATTAGGGGAAAAAAAACAACCCTCTTATGAGGAGGGTACTAAAGCACTGGGACAGGTTACCCAGGGAGGCTGTGGACTCCATCCTTGGAGGTTTTTAACTGCAGCTAGACAAAGCTTTGGCTGGGATGATCTAGTTGGGGCTGGTCCTGCTTGGAGCAGGGGGTTGGACTAGACGTGACCTCCTGAGGTCCCTCCCAACCCTCATTTTCTACGATTCTTTGACATTAGCTACCCCATGGTACAGCCTGGGTACACGCTATTCCCCTGTGGTAAACAGAGTAGTTTTACTGCTTTTATTGCAGCTCAGGTGCCCTGCTCAAGTTCACACCCTAGCTTCCCCCAAGATAAGGGTTCAGGTACCCGTGCCCCAGAAGCCTTCTTCTCCCAGGCGTCTCCTGATGGAGCCTTGTTGTGCCAGCTCCGCCCCACGTACATCTTGTTCTTCAACAGCACTGTACAAACACGGGCGCATTTTCCAAGCTCCCGAAGAGGGCACAGCCTGTTCA